TTTTTTTTTATCCCAGATTTGGTGGTTTCTCTGTTATTTGGCTTTAAGCTGAGTCCTTTTCATTCACTGTGCCGCCACCTTCAGGACCTCGTGAATAGGGGGGCTCACCGTCTCTTCCATTTCTTATTTCTCTTTCTGGAAATTTCATTAGTTGGATGTATTGATCTTCAGTTTTCTTAGGTTTTCTTTCTTACCAGTTTATCTCATCTTTGTGTTTTATTTTCTGCAAGATTTCCTCGATTTTTCTCGTCCAGTATTTTTTTCAATTTTTTATTTAGCTATAACTTTTTTATTTCTAGGCTCTTTATATTGTTTTTTTTAAAAAAAGTTTTTTCCCCGCAATATTCCATTTCTGTTTGGTGGTTGTAATTATATTCACACATCCCTCTGAGGATGCTGATTATAGGCTTGGCTCTTTGTTCCTTAGCTTTCATTGTCTCCTCATGTTATCTGTGCTGTCTTCAAGCTGCCCTTCTTCTAGTTTGGATCCTGTCTTCATAGCTGAGACTTCCCCCAATGCCTGGTGGTCCCTTGTGGTCAGTTTATCTTTAAGGGCCGGGCACTGGCTCCTGGGGTTGGAGCGTGGGGGTGGGGCCTGTCGGCGGTGGGGTGGGGCCTGTGGGCTGGTGGGCTGCGCAGGAAGGTGACGCAAGGGGGAGCCGACTTTCTCACAGGAGATCCCCCCACCCCCCAACCCCCAATCAGTGTGCTTGTCTGCTCCCTGGCGCTGTAGTTTCTCCAGAGACAAGTCCTTCAGTATCCAGCATTTAGGGAGATATTTAGGGGATTCAATTGCCTGGCTGCCAAGATGCCAGCAGCAGAAGGAGGATGAGCCCGGTGGTGGCAGGGGAGCAGCCCACCCTTCAGTGTGCATGGTTCACCTGCTGTTTTCACTCTGGAGCCTTACTTCCTCCTCCTCCTCCTTCCCCCAGGGGCTGGTGGTCTGGAGTCCTGAGCCCTCCTGCTTCTGGTTCTGCAGAAAATACTTCCGAAATGGGGGTGGGGACCTGGGTGTGTAACCGCGCTGTTTGTAGACCTGTTCTGGTCTGCCTGTTTCGGCCCTCGACTCGCACCCTCCGCCCCCATCCCCAGGGGTACCTGGCGGCTCCACGACTCTGAGGGCGAATCATGAGCCCCCTCAGCCCTGCTGAATCCCGTAGCTTCCACTGTCCTGTCTCCACACATTTGCTGGCGCCTCTCTTGAGTCGTGCTCCTCCCTTGCTCTTTATTTCAGTGAGTTCACACTTTCTCCACTTGATTGCCATTTTAGGAGAATATTGGCAGAGAAGCCCCATGTGTTCGATCTGTCGCTGCCCACCTCCTCCTCCTCAGAGGCAGCTCCTGTACGCGGGGACTGCTGGAGAGAGGGAGGGTATGAGAGTGTGAGCGTGTGCATCCGTGTGAGAGAGTGTGTGTGTGAAAGACGAGTGTGTATGTGTGTAAATGTGTACGAGTGTGTGTGAGACTGCGGAGTGTGAGCGTGTATGTGTGACAGACACTCTGGAGGCACTGCAGTCAGCAGTAGCATTGGACAAACTCCAGTCGCTTTGGGAGCAAGGCAGATACAGACAAGGAACCAGAAGAATAAGTGGCCTCCTTGTTGACATGAGTGCGTGGCCTCACAGAGTGGTGATTTTAAAGGGGGCGCACTCAGCTCAAGGAATTAAATCCTGGAAATTTCATTTTAAAAAATTCTTATGACCTTACTTGGGTAGCTGTCAGGGTATGTGGCTTTTCACTCTTTGCTCCTGACTGAATGGCTGATTCGTTCGTTCATTCCTTCAGCGAGTTTTGACTGAGTCCACAGGCAGGCATTGTGCATAGTGCAGGGGCTCAATGGCGATCAGAGTGGGCATCGTCCTTGTCCTTGTGAAGCTTATTCTATGGTGGGATAGTAGGGGCAGATAAATGTTGATCACACAAGTACGTAATGTGTGTTTGAAGACAAGATCTAGTCCCAGAGATGGGGAAGGAATCCCAGAGGACTAGAGGTTGGAGCTGAGCCCAGATGCAGCAATTTAGGACTTTAAGGATGCTGATGTAGCGTGGTGTCACTTTAAATATTTGGTTCCATGTTGGACCAGATGTCCTCATTTTTCGACATGTGAGCACTGGCTTTATGGATGCTCCCGGGTGAGCACTGAGGCAGGCTCACTGCTCTAACCCCAGAATCTCGCCCCCCACCCGGGCATTTCCCATCCCAGGACTCAGAGGCTGGCTGCTGAGTTTGGATGCTCAGAGTTTAGATGCGGACGCTCCACGCAGCCACCTGCCTCACACATAATTCATCTTGTAGGTCCTTAGCTCGTCTAACTCGAGGTGGGAAGAGCTTAGGTTAGCCAGCACGTTTATGTGGCTGAATTGGAAAGAAGCTTCTGGGTACATCTTATTGCTACAGGGGAGACAAGGCTGGGCATGCTGGCCTTGTCACACCAGGGCTGCTTCCCTGGTGCTCCGGACGAGCCAGGACCCGGGGCCTTCTCCCTCCCTGCTCCAGTTCATGGAGCCGCAGCCCGTGTGTGGATGCAGCCTGCGTGGCCAGGCTTCGGTGCCTCTGCATTCTGCCCAGATGCACACACACACATATGCACACACACACATACACACTCACACACACACTCTCTCGCTGGCTCTCTTTCCCCATTCCCTCCTTGGGTTAGAGGGCATTACGCATTTTTACTTTATTGCAAATGAGCCAGGCCTTTGGTTGTCCATTTTTAATGCTTCTCAGGCACGAGTTGGAGGACTAACTGCCAGGACAGAGAAGGGGCCTCCGAGGAAGGCCAGCCCATTGCCTGCTTTTTCCCTTTCATCCCTGCGCTGGCCTCTTTATCATATCAAGGTGTCTTCTCACTCAGAAACGGGAAATTCCAGCAGTGGGGCGAGAGGAGGGAATCATCATTTCAAACCCTGGAAACATAGCCTTGACGTAGGGTGCATACCTCCCCTCGATGGGATTTCCAAATATCCCGGGGAGCCCTTCTCGGCCCCCTTCCTTCTCTGTGGAAGGTTAAAGACACAGCTGGCTCTCTTTCGAGGTCCCAGCCTGTGGTTCCACGGCCTTTAGTGTTCTGCAGACTATTTTTTTAAGTTTATCAAAAATAATGCATTTATTATAGAGAAACCATATAGATTCCCTTATTTCCTAGTTCCTATAGCATCTTTTATTTTCACATTTTAATGGTTCTGAAATTCCGATGCATTTTAAAATAGGTTTGTACATTTTGATAAGATACTATTTCTTTTTTTTTCCTGAAGGGATGTTCTTTAAATCCTGTGGGTGATTCCCAAATGAGTACATCCTAGAATTGAGGAAATACAGTAAAAGTACCGTTTGGACAAGAAACCCCCAAAATCTTTTAAAACATGGAATCCATGGGAGAAAACAAACAAAAGGATCCTTGGTGGTGAAGAGTTAAATCTCATGTTTTCCAAGAAACTTTATGTGTGACCGTTGTGGGAGAAAATGCTGATGAGGCCCGATCCCAATCCATCAGGTTTCTTTCTGCGGGGGTGACATGCTTGGAGCAAACAGTCCTTAAAATGATCTCCAGACCATTCCTCCTTCAGACTGCAGGTCACATGTATTTGCATATTTAACACAAGGACCTTTCTTTTCCCTTTGTTGCGTTTGCTCATTTACAATTGCTCAATTTGAAAAAAAAAGAAAAAACATTTTTCTTTTGCCAGTTGGCCTTCGGGCTTTTCTGAGACAGCCTCAGAGAACATGGCTGTGTGGGGGCTCTGGGAATGTCCCAGTGGAGTGGCCCGCCCGCCCCCGCCCTGTGGATGGGGCAGTGCTGTGGGGCCCCTGGCTCTGCATAAAGCTACTCAGTGTGGACGTGGGATGGGGCTGAAGCGAGGCGGTTTCTGTGTAAAGAATGGAGGCACTATCCGCAGTTTGTCAGATGGCCGGGAGCTTGTCAGATCACAGCCTGTGTCCCAGAGTCTAACGCTCAGGACAAGCAGGGAGGCGTCCGAGAGCACACGGCTGGGAGGCTGCTTCAGGGTCCATCCCCAAACCGGCTGCGCCCTCAGTCTTCCCAGATGTCCCCTCGGGTGCCAGCCGCGGTGTGGAGTGTTGATTATTCCTCTGTGCCATGCTGGCAGTGTCATGTGAGGCTGCTGAGTGAGAAAGCACACCCAGCCCTGACAGTCCATTAAGAGAGCAGTCTGGAAAGATGTGAGAAGGAGACCGTCCTCGTCCAGCCTGCCCTGTCGTCTCCAGTGTCATGTAAACCCTTTCCCACAAAGCATGGACCGTCACACCCTGCAGTCCGGCGCAAGGTCCTTCGAGACTCAGATCCAGGCTGGCTTTATCCTCAAACGCTTCCTAGAGAAGATTTCTGCAGCTGTCTATGGGAACATGGCTTCTTAGTGAGACTATTAAAAAGGACCTGAATCTCTTTTTATTTTTCTATCATGGTACAGTTTCCGACCTTGAATACCACTCACAGAGTTTGTACCAAGAAGATACAGTGAGGAGCGAATTTTCCTGACCCCCTACCCCTCACGCCCCAGTAGAGAGTCCCATTGACCGAAGCGCCCTGGCTGGCCCCGGGAGTCCTGGAGCAGGAGGCCGCGTCAGTCTCTCTACAGGCGGTGCCCCTCTCAGGTGGCATTTCACACCCCATTGGACTTTTGTCTGCGCCCTGTACCGTCCCCCGAGTAAGTGGTAATGAGCAACTTAATGTGCTGACTTCCCCAATCCCTTCTTGGTCCATTATAACCAAAGTTGCTCTTTTCTCATTAGAACCATTTTTGTCAGGGTGTCTTTAATCAATGGCTTCCCTGGGGACTATATTTTTAGAAGTTGTATTTTTCACACTCTCCGTTTTCCCCTCTTGGAAAATCTCTTCCCAGTGCCTGGTGAAATGGACTAATGAGATGCCGTGAGAGTTCGGGCCGGTGTTAATTGGCACAGGTATGAAGAAGCTGCTCGAGCACCCCTTCCTCCATCCCGCCTCACCTGCGGCCCTCTGCTCTGTTCTCTGCCCCAGGTCGCACAGACAGCAGATGGTGTGGACGCTGACCTCTGGAAAGACGGCCTATTTAAATCGAAGGTTACCAGATACCTGTGCTTTACAAGATCATTTTCCAAAGAAAATGTAAGTCTCGTGGCGGTTTCTGTTTGCCGAGTGAGCACATGATATTTACATCCCTGTTTAAAACTTCCCCATTCTTTTTTGTTGTGGTTTATCTTCATTGCCATATTAATTTATCTGTGGTTTTAGTGAACTGGGTAGAATCAGCAGCCAGCGCTGTGTTTCATTTATTAACAGTATTATTAGCCACATACCCAAGTGTACAGTGAATTCCATTAAAACGTGTTCTCAAAAGGAAACCGGGAAATTTCTCTCACAGCTCTCATTTGCCTGCCTTTCCTCCAAGTAACAAATCACAGGGTAGTGTGGACATGAGAGTTCTCCAGCAGAGCTGGATTTAAAGCCGACCGACGCATGGAAGCGTAGCTGGAAGGATGCGCCATGGCCTCCCATTTTCACACACAAGGCCTTGTTCCAAAATGACTGACTTTCTCCCTAAGTCTCTAGGTGACATGTGACGTGTTGTGTGTCTGCGGATAGTAGCCACATGTGCCGGTTTCTTCTAGCATGCTGGTTTTAATACTTGGGCCCATAAGTGAGGAAATTTCAAAGATATCTACTAAGGCTTTTCCGATGAAGTGTTTTAATAGGTGGCTTCGAAAAGAGGAAAGTAGCTTTCATGACTCTCCGCTCTGGATGAGGCCTGTCCTGGGCACGCTACAAATACCCCTCTTCCATCCTCAGGGCAGTCTGTTGAAGCATTGGCTCCTTTCCTGAGGTCAGAGTTTTCGTGCTTGTCCGAGGTCACGGGTCTTCCCTAGCCCCAGGTAGGGAGCAGTCAGATTTTCATTTTCAGGGATACCATTTTGATTTTTTGGCCTAAATGTTATTTGTCTCTTTCTGAAGCAAATATTTATTTTTAGAAATATTTTAATTTTATAAATGTTATTATAACAAAAATATATATTCATGGTTTAAAAAGAAAAAAAAAATAACTTCCAACATCCTCATTCAGAGCTTGAAAAGGGAAAAGTAATGGTCTGTCTCCCTGTCACATACTCCCCCAGGCCCGTGGTCCCGTCTTGGGGGTCCTTGCGCGTCCCCTCAGCGTTTTCTGGCTGTGGACAGTCCCAGGGTTCTCCGGCCTGCATTCTCTTCCACCAGCTGTCCCTCTTGTTTGTTGGTAAATCTTTGTTAGGAAAATTACTCTTAACGTGCTCAGGACTGGGGAAGAAGACGTTGCTTTAACTTTTTCCCCCTAACTACGAGAGTAATATATGCTTGTTTCTAATGGAGTAGGGCCAGTGCTGGCGCGGAACCCTGGAAATCTTTTTCATCCAGGCGGGGAGGCGGCTGCTGAGCCTCCGATGAGTCTGAGCAGGTCCCTCGGGCTTGCGTGCTGCCCGAGGAGCCTCCGAGGAGCAGGTCTGAAGGCCGGGTTGCCTGTCCAAACGTCAGGTGCATGCTGTCGGGCTGGTGCCCCCATCACCCCATCCTTCCCTCTTGTACCCACAGCCAGACACACCCTGCGCTCTCCCAACCCTTGTCCCTGGGGTGAACCGAAGCCCTTTTTTGAGACTATTTATATTTTTAGCTTTGGTCACCTCTGTTCTGTCCGCTGGCTGCTGTTTTCTGCAGAAGGTCAGCGTGGTCACTGCCACTCAGGGCTGTAAGGACGAACTCCTGAGGATTCGAACAACTCCTCTTCACACCTCGCACTGCTCAGTGGTTTCAGGTGTTCCTACTGCTCCCTGATCAGCCTTTGCGTCTCCTGACTGAAGAGGCTTCCATTCAAAACTGTGGCTTCAGAGGACAGCCACGATCTCTTTGATTGTTAGTGATTTCTGTTTTTGTGACATTTCCCATGAAAGCTGTGGGATATTGATACTCTAGGCCAGAAGAGTCCCCGATCCCTTGGAGTGGGGACAGTGTCCAGTCTAAACATGACGGAGAGAAGTCACAGGGCTTGTTAGTTTTGGGGGTCATGGTAAGTGTATTCTAGAAAATGTATTGACTTAGCATTTGTTGAACGTATTAAAGAGATGTTTACTGAGTGCCTACTCTGTGTCGTACTCTGTGAGGGCTGGGCGTGGCGGCGTGGGTTGTGATGAAGGGATGTAAGATGAGGACAAGGACAGTGGGAGAATCCTTGGCCTCTCTTTTGAAGCAGTGTAGGAAATAGGCGTATTTTGTTTTCAGAAAAAGAATGAATGGGTCCTAAAGTGAGATCCATGGGGATCCAGTTCAAGAGGGCCACAGGAGCCAACTTGCTGCCTGGGAGTAGAGTAGGAATGAGACATATTTTAAGCTATTACAGCCAGTCTGTCCTGGCCCTGCTGTCAGAGCCAAGCCTCTGCATAGCATAATTTTTTACAACATAAAGGAGGGACGTGGGATCTCAAGACTGGACAGATTCTTAATTAGGTGACTTGAGACTCCCAATGTAGGAGTTTTGGGAGACTCCTTTGGAACCTAAATTCCTTTCCCCCAATAATGCTATTAATACAGAAACCTGGCTTTGGAGTGACATTGCTTCCTGGGGAAGGATCGAGATTAATTGCACTTTTCATGCCCTGTACTTTCTGCATTACCTGTAATAATAATGTACATAGATTAGGTAGGGAGGATATTAAACAGAAGGATTTATGAACATTTGAATATTAAGTTGGTTATCTGTGGCTACCTTAAATGCAAGGTTGTCAAAAATAATTACAGTATACTAGCAAATACTGGCTACCAGAGACAATATAAATACCCTGAGTCAGTGCATATTGGGCCTTTGGCATGAATCATTTGCTCAACAAGGATTGGGAATACGTTCTTCATATTTATGAGGAGGAAATGAAAGAGAGCATGGGATGGGGGAGGGGAGAGGAACAAGCAAAATTAATGGTGTCGCAGACCTACGGTATTAAACCCCGAACAGCGGCAGCCCCGTGCCAGAGGGACCACACTTGGACTGCGGGAAGCTTTGACAGTGCAGCCTCCCGTTTTGTATGCATGGGAGGGTTTTTCGATGCTTTTTTTTTTTAATGGCTGCACCACTGATGTTCTGGTTTTATGATCAGGGACATTTGTAGAGTGTGGAGGGTGAGGTCGCTAAGTGGTTTGCAGTTGACTTCTGGAAAACCCAACTTGTCAAGTCGAAGACATTTGAGAAGGATATTGATGAATGCCCATCCATCTACGGGGCAGGAAAACATACCCAGTTGTTAATTTCTCAATGCAGAAAGCAGTGATGACACGGAAAAGCAACTGCCAGGAGAAAAAATTATGATAGATTAGATCAGGCGATTCTGAAAGCAGCTGATGTTTGCCAGCTAGGTTAACGGTTCAAACCCTGCCCACGCGGTCAGAGATTTATTCCGCATTAGCGAGGGTGCCGCTTGTGCTTTGCTGCGCTGCGCCGTGCATTGTCTTCCTGAGGCCCAGCTACCTGAAATGTCATACTATCAAATTGTTGGCAAACACAGTGGTTCTGAGAGAAAGAAACAGTTTTGTGACAACAGTGCCATAAAGACACCTGTCATAGTTTACGCTTGACACATTGACCTTCATACTTAAATTTGAAGAATGTATTTCATTTGTGTACTCTTGGTTTATCATGCAGTTATTAAATATATTTTAAGTATTTTTATTGATATAGTTTAGATTTGTCATCCAAGCAAATCCAGTTTGATTGCTGATTCTGAGTGGCCCACCCTGTTAAAAATGTACCAAAAAAACATCAACTTATTCAGCAAATAATTATTGAGCACCTACTGTGTGCCAAGAACTGTGCTAGGCTTGAATTTACTGTAGTAATAGAAATAGTTTTGAGTCTCATGGTTCTCATGGTCCTTCAGCTCTAGTGGGGAGGCAGATATTAAACAAGTAGCCTCACAAATATGCCATTGTAAATTGATATGGAGGAAAACAGAGAGTGCCAAGAGAGAATGGAGCAGAGAGTTTAGATGGTAACAATCCCTGGCTGGCTTCCAGAGAGTGTTGGCCCTGAGCCAGAGGGGTGAGGGGGCTGGGGCCCTGTGCAGAGATGGAGGTGCAAGCCCTTCTCTGAGCAAGACAGAAACAACGGCCTGGGAAGCTGTTGCGGAGGGCAGAGTGACGGGCTGGCCAACCCGATGCTTGTCCAGGGACGTAGACCCAGTAAGCTGAGAGTGTGCTAGTGCAGGGCTGCTGGGGCTGAGTTGCTTCTGGAAAATGGGCGTGCAAAGTGCATTGCCAGCATCCTAACGGGAGAGATTTGAGATCGGAAGCCGCAATTCTTTCCATAACCGACTCTCACTAGAGGGGGAGCCAGGCTGCAAATGACTGACGAGTTTAGTGAAATCTCCAGGGTGGCCCCACATGTCTAAGTTGCAGGGCGGCTATCTTTCTAGCTCGTTTCCAGCCTGAAATGCGAGCTGCAGGTGCCAGTGTGTTCGCAGAGCATCCCTTTTCGCAATTATAGAACGGGGTGTGCTGTCTTTGGAAGATGTTTTTGCCCTGGTTACAGAAACTGTGCACTGTGGACCCCATATACTACCACTAAATAGAGGCCTTAAGAGGCCCTGGTGCATGTCATGTTAGAAGATGTGTAACATTGAGGCAGCAAGTCTTTCTGCTCTGTACTGGTTTATGATCCTTGGGATTTTACAGAATGTATCTAAAGTGAACTGTGCGTCTGTGCAGACTGGCGATTACGATTGCTTCTCGGTTAGGGGTAGATGCAGCTCTCTCCCCTCCAGCGACTGCTCTAGGAATTTGCTCTTCCTAAAACCTACTGACCCCAGAGCTGATGCTCCATCAGGGCTGAGTGGCAGCTGGTCCCGGGACGCGTGTGCACAGCTGCCCTCTGCTGGGCTCTGTATGTCTCACGCATCTCCTCACTTGCTTGTCTGGCTAACCAAGGCCCACGTCTGAGTGAATAGGTTTTGAGGTTCCGCAGATGAAACTCCTTCCCGGGGGCCACCGGAGTCTCTTTGTAACCGCTGGGGAACATTAAGTGGCACCTACTCTAATTAACCTGCTGTCGTAAAGCTGTGAGAGTCATTGTGTTAAATATGCATCTTGAAGCCAAAATGGCAAACCCACCACAGGCGTGTTCAGATTAATAGTCTGTATCTCTTTTCTTTCTTCCCAAGAGTCATTTAGGGAACGTGTTAGTGGATATGAAGCTCATTGACACCAAGGACACTCTGCCTGTAGGCTTCATCCCCATTCAGGAGACGGTGGACACACGTGAGTCACCTTTTAGTACCACTCATCGCAGCGAGCGTTTTCTTCCTCCAGGTACATTTGTAGATATTTTTTATGTGCATTTTTCTTTGGAAACATTTTAGGAGGCCTTACCGCGTGCCCATGAATAAACCCTGCTGCTTTTGAGACATATGCCTGACTTGGTTCTCCAAGGAGTTTGCAGCGTTCTGGGCAGCGACATGTAAATGGGCAGAATGTCCTTTTCTCCTAGCAGGATGCTCCCTGCTGAGTCGACTCACGAGGGAATGGAACGAGTGAAACTGGTTATAGTTCATCCTGAGTCCGTCCTCTGGTGTTGCTGAAGCCAAGCTTGGACAAGACCCAGAAGCAAAAGGAAAACAATCAGAAGACGCCCAGGCAGTACAAGTGCAATGTTGTCCCATTTCTGGCTCTCGGAGTGAACAAGAAACGCCAGAACCAGACAGCCTGCAAGCTGGGTGCCCAGGATTCAAACGGGAGCGACTGCTCTGCCCGCTGAGCGATACCGAGTGGAAGCGAATGGCTGAAGAGTTGGAAGCTTCTTTGGGATCCCGGAGGGCTTTGAGGTTCCTGTCATGCACGGCAGCTATTAAATAGTGCTGGAAAACCCCTGGATATTTGAGCCTTCTCATTTTGATGTACTCTAACTTGTTTTCATTTTTAATGACTTGTTACCAACTTTAGGATATCTACAACAATGACGCTGTAAATAAAAAACAAATACTGGGAATCCTGTCTTTATGACACACGATTCATTTATGAAATTCTGTATCTCATTCTTTATCATACATTCTTTGTCCTACATTGTTTTTCCATAGTTAGCCCCCTTTTGAACTCGCTATTTTTTGCTGTTTTCCTTCTAGCATTTCATGTAGACCAGACTTTCCGTAGCTACAGAGACCCCACATAGCTGTTATTTTAATGAAACAGTGGAGTCCATTGTGTAGCATACTTTTATTTTCTTAATAGTCTTCTCACTTTTGGACGTGGGGCTGCTTTAACTTCCTTGTTATTATATGTGTTAGCTTCTAATTGTAATAGCTGATATTTAGCCTGTATTTACTGTATGCCACCCCTGGTGATAAACGCTTTATGTGCTTGATCTCATTTAATCTTCAGAAGACCCCTATTTGGAAATGGGTATCGTTATACCCATTTCACATATGAGAGAAATGAGGCACAGTAGGTACTTGGGGATTAAAGAACTTATCCGGGGTCGCACATAAAGAAGTGGGGGGGCAACTGGAGTCCACATGCCAGTCTGACTCCAGCCACACTTTTAACCACGGTGCCACTCTGTAAGAGCATATGTTTAAGCACCTTTTATAGACAGATTTTATATATTTATGTATAGGGTTTTTTTGGTGACAGCTTTATTGAGATATAATTCACATACCATACAATTTATCCATTTAAAGCGTACAGTTGAATGGTTTTTAGTCTATTCCCAGAGTTGTGCAACCATTACCACAATCAATTTTAGAACATTTTATCACCACCAAAAGAAAAACCCCATACCCATTAGCAATCACTCTCCATTTCTCCCCAACCCTCGCCTCCCCACCCCCTGCCAGCCCTAGGTAACCGCTAATCTACTTTCTGTATAGATCTGCCTATTCTGGACATTTCATATAAGTCAAGTCATACAGTATATGGTCCTTTGTGACTGCCTTCTTTCACTTCGTATAACAATTTCATAGCAGGTCCATGTTGCAGCTGATATCAGTACTTCATTTCCTTTTTGTTACCAAATAATATTCCATTATATGGATATACCACATTTTGCATATCCATTCAATTGGTGGATGTTTGGGTTGTTTCTTCTTTGGGCTATTATGAATAATGCTGTTGTGGACATTCATGTACAAGTTTTTGTGTGGACATATGTTGTCACTGCTCTTGGGTATATACCTAGGCGTGGAATTGCTGGGTCATATGGTAACTCTGTATTTAACATGTTGAGGAGCTGCCAAACCCCTTTTCAAAGGAGCAGCACCATTTTACATCCCCACCAGCAGCGTCTGAAGGTTCTAGTTTCTCCACATCTTCACCAACAGTTGTTATTGTCATTCTTTTTTCATTCTAGCCGTGTTGGTGGGTGTGAAGTGGTGTTTCATTGTGGTTTGGATTTGCATTTCCCTGATGGCTAATGATGCTGAATATCTTTTCCTCTGCTTATTGTTCACTTGTATTTCTTCTCTGGAGAAATGTCTAAAGGACCAATGATAAATCGGTCCTTTGCCCATTGTAAATTGGGTTATCTTTTTATTATTGAGTTGTGAGAATGTTTTAATATATTGTAGATATATTATGCATCTAGAATACATGTAAATCCTTTATCATTTATATGATTTGCAAACATTTTCTCCCATTCTGTGAGAAATTTCATTTTCTTGGTAATGTCCTTTGAAACACAGAAGTTTTTTATTTTGATGGAATTTTATTCATCTGTTCTACTATTGTTGCTTGTGCTTTTGGTGTCATACCTAAGAAACCATTGCCTAATCCAGGGTCACGGAAATTTATGCCTGTGTTTTCCTCTAAGAGTTTTATAGTTTTAGCTCCTTACATTTATGTCTTTGATCCATTTTGAGTTAATTTTTTGTATGTGGTGTGAGACGGGTCCAACTTTATTCTTTTGCATGTGAATATCCAGTTTTCTCAGCAACGTTTGTTGAAAAGATTCTTCTGTCCCCCACTGAATTGTCTCAGCATCCTTGTTGAAAATCATCTGACTGTGATGTGAGGGTTTCTTCTGGACCCTGAGCTCTCTTGCGTTGATCTGTATGTCCTTCCTTATGCCAGTACTACACAGTCTTGACACAGTCTAGCTTTGTAGCAAGTTTTAAAACCAGAAAGTATGAGTCCTCCAACTTTATTCTTCTTTTTAAAGGTTATTTTGGCTTTTCCGAGTTCCTTGAATTTCCATGTGAATTTGAGGATGAGTCAGCTCGTGCCAAGAAGCCAGCTGGGATTTTGATAGGAATAGCGTTGAATCTGTAGGTCAGTTTGAGTGTGTGTAGATTGTGAGTGGTTTCCTTGTGATAAGGTCCAAGTACTTGAGGCTCCTGGGTCATAGCTCCTCTGTGGGCTGCCCACAACCTTCGTCTGCAAATGTATTCCTCATCTTCATGCACCCGATACTTTACCCAAACCAAGCTACGACTGCGCCCCCTTCACGCTCCTGTCTTTTCTGCCTCTACGAACTTGCTTTCTTGTTTTCCTCCCTGAGATACCCTTTCCCTCAACTCTGAATGTCTACACCCCGTATCTTTCAAGGGTGAGCTTCAGTTCTTCCACGCACATGAAACAGTCCCTGATCCCTAGATACCAGTTTGAAGCCGGCTCTCTCCATTCTCCACAGTCAGCTAAGATTGATGAATGCCTAGTGTAGGCACTGCAGGCTTTGAGATGGAAAGATGAATAAGATACTGGCCTTTTCCTCAAGAAGCTCAGTCTAGTGGAGGACTTGGACCTACAAACAAGGAATTGCCTTACTACATAATTAGATAGGGCTGTAATCAGTTGGAGGTCAGGGGCCCTGTCTGCATTCTTTACTGCTTTTCATCACCCCTGGCCCAGCACACATCTATGGAAGGGAAGAAGGGAAGTAAGCACCTGCAAGTTACAGCGGTGGCAAGCCAAAGGGAGTGATCAGTTCTGCCTCTGAGTTCCCATCTTTCCTCCATTAGGACAAACTATGGTTCGGCATAGTGGGAAGAACGTGGGCTCTGGAGTCAAACTCGCCTAATATTGAGTCTGGTTCTGCCACCTGAAACTGTGGGACTTGGGGCAAATGACTTCACCCTCCTGGGCCTCAGTTCCCTCATCTGTAAAATGGGGGGAATATAACCCACCTCATCATGTTGCTTTTAGCTTGTATTGTAGCCTTTGATATGTTTTCCTCATGTCTTTCTCTCTTTCTTTGAGGACAAAGCCTGTGTTTAATTCATCTTTGATTCACCTAAGGTAGCTTGCTCAGAGGATGGGATCAATAAAGATAACTCTCTGTTGCCAAATGAACTTCCAGAAATACCAGCCCACAGTGCCACTCATGATGTACACTTGTCCCTGAGTTCCACAGCCCTGCCAACATAGGGTTTAAAATTTTTATTTTGTTTTACTATTCAATTTTGTTTAATTTTCACTTCATCGTTTACTAGCAAGACTGAACATCTTCACAGGTGTTTGCTACTTTTGCTTATTCTTGTGTGACTTCTCTGCTAAGCACTAAAATTGCCTTGTAGACTTATATTAATTTCCCACTTTCCCCCATGTTTTTCTTAGTTTCACAGTTTGCCTTGGTGTTTGTTTTTGACGACTAATTGACTTATAATGTCTTTATATTGATAGACTCTAGAGCCCCAAGGGATTGCCCATTCTGCGTTTTCCTCTCAATTTGTTGAAGCAGTTAAGACAGGAGTCTGTCTGGGTCCGTGGTCTGGCTGCTGTGGGGCCACGGTGATCCTCTCCCGTGACTGGGGGTTGTTGCCCTGGGGACATTCTGAGGTTGGGTCCTGGCATCTCCAACATCTTATCACACAAGGAGGGTGGATTAGGGTAGCCTGTTCATTTCAGGTCCTACTGTCATTTCCTGGAGCCCTTACACCAGGGACAGGTGAGCCTGAGCTGACCAGACAAACCCATAGTCAGCTCTATGCACTTTGAGTGCATTTAAAGCCCTGATTTTATCAAGTCAGCCAAAAAGATGAGACTCCTGTAATTAATGGGAAATGTAGTTTGTTGCAATCCATATAGTACTTAAAAACTGGAAGACCATTTTAGTAACGTGCTGTGTCCTTTCTCCGTGTTCATTTGCATGACTGAACACATTTCTGTTGACTCTGTGTAATATGTTTACTTAAAATTAGGCCTGTTTAAGCGTGTGTAATTAGTGGCTCCATCTCTTACCCCGAGTTTGCTGTAGATGGAGGAATGGAGCAAAGAGCAGCCTGGCAGACGCACGGAAAAGACCTGCACTTGCGTTTGCTTTGAGGCAAGGTCTCACTTCGCACTTTCAAAGGCCGGGTCTTATCACCTAATAGCTTTTGAAGGCGCAGGGTTGCAGTGGCTGTTTTCTCCCAGGACGCCATCCCTGCCTTGTTGGGTACAATGTTTGGGGTGTGGATTGAGGACATTGTTGCTCACAGCTTATAGATCTGATCTAACCCTCAGTTTCCTCGCCTGGGAAAGGAACCCCCAAAGTTTCCATCTGGCTCTTTACAAGACAGCCAGCCTCCCCCAAATCACGGCAACAAAACACCACCGCTGATTCTAACCTCTCCCCCCGCTCCCTGGTAAAATCGATACTAGCACCAGGAATGCCCTTCCCTCCTCATTCTGCTCCCTGATTCGGATGTGCTTATTTCCTGCCAAAGAACTGAAAGGTCTTGAAAATCATGGCCAAACACGGACATAAATTGTGTGCTGGAGGCTTACTTGTGATAACGGTGATAAGAACATTCGTGGCTGTTCTTTATTGAGCATTTACTGTGTGCCAGGCGCTGGGCTGAGTGAAGCATCCGTGTTACCACCTTTCATGCACCCAATGTCCCTATGGGGTGGGGTTTCATTAACCCGCTTTTACAGATAATAAACTGCGGCTCAGAGAAATCAAGTCACTTGCCTAAGGTCGTAGTGCCGGAAAATGGCAGAATTGAGACTTCAACACAGACCCACCCGACTCATGTACTGAGTGGCTGCAGTTGATTGAAATTCGTGTTTAAAAACGACAAATGAAGAAACCAAAAAACACCTGGTCGGTCACCACTGGCGGCTGCTAGGGCACCGACTTATTACTCTAAGACTTGATAAATAAGTGAATCACGTGTTTATCTTTCCTTTCCTCTACAAAGTGTATTTCAAGGAGACTAAGTAGACGAAGAAGAAAAGTTGCTTTTTATACAGAAGAATTCCAGCCAATACATGCAGAAGGAATGACAGATTCAGAAAACCACCATTTTAATGAAATTATGGATCTAGGCAACCGTCCTCAGGAGATGAGGACTCTGCTCCAAAAACAGTTTCGTGGACTTTATAACCGAGGCACCAGGCCGACACCACCGGAACCCACCGAGGCTGGCACAGCTCGACTCTGTGATGTGACGCCGTAGGACGTACGTGCACCACCTGTGACGTGTTCTTGCCTAGAGAATCTAACCTGAATCTTATCGAGCCGTTTACAGGAAGTACAGGGAGTGACCCACTTTCTCCAACCTGCCGGTGCCCAAAAGAAAAAGGGAGGGTGGAGAGGTTGTTACAGAACAAAAGAGGCTCGAGAGACCTACCCAGCCAAGTTGAGTGCATAGAATTGTTTGCATCTTGATCCAGACAAACCAACAGTTAAATGACATTTTTGAGATAATGGAGAAAACTTGCATTTAGACTATCTATTGGATGATATTAAGGAATCGTTCATTTTGTTAGGAATGATAATGGCATGATGCTCATATTAAAAAAAAAATTATTTGCCGTGGATGCCCACTGAGATATTAATGGGTGACATGACATGGTGATAGGGATTCGTTTTAGATTCTCCTGCAAAACTAAAGGGGGCTGGGGTGGGGAAGACATGAAACCAGCTTGTCCACTGTTGACAGTGTTGAAACTGGATGATGGGAACACGGGGATTCATTTTACTGTTCTCCCTGCTTTGGGGAATCTTTGAAGTTTCTATAATAAAAAGTAAGAAAGAAAAAAGTCCATGTGGTAAAATGTCTTAATCCTCAGGGTGTCCGTGTGTATGTACCTGCTGGCTTCAGTGGTGAGCAGATGTGGTTGTGGCTTTTAGAAGCCCGGCCCCATGTGTGAATTCCAAGCTGCTTCTCCTTGCAGAGGTGTGTGTACCTTGGGAGCCCCTTCTCGGCAGGGGGTGTCTGGGGTCAGGTCCTGAATGCTGAGCAGGGTGACTGGCGTCCACTCTGCAGTCACAGCCTGTCCACTGCAGCCCTGTGGAGGGCAGGAGGGGCAGAGCCCTGTCCTTCTGTTGGGTGACTTGGATGACCGGTCACTTCTGCTGCCAGGAAGGGAACGTGACAGGAGACGCGGTGTTCAGAATAGAGATGCTGGCATCTCTGGAAGACTCATACCTTTTCTTGTCCTTTCCTTCAGAGGAAGTGGCTTTTAGAAAGAAGAGGCTGTGCATTAAATTTATTCCACGGGATTCAACCGAAGCTGCAATTTGTGACATTCGGATCATGGGCCGGACCAAGCAGGCCCCACCTCAGTACACGTTTATCGGGTAAGTCTTAACAACACAGATCTCATCTCTTCTCTCTGCAGAGAGTGCTCAGGTCGCCCCCGGGGATGAAGCCCAGGGACCTCCTGTGTGACCCACCAGGCTCTGGCCACCTGCCTCTCGTCAGCCTCTCTAGCCTTGGCTCTCATTGCTCCCCTTCCTGCTTATGCTACAGCCAGTCCAAAACGCCAAGCTGTTGACCTCCAGGCCTTTGTTCATGCCGCTTGCTCCATCCAGGGGCCTTTCTTTCCCCTCATCCTCCTCAGTATTCACCCTCAGCCTCCTCTGGGGCCTTTCCAGGTGCCTGAAAGCAAAGGTGTTCTCCCCTTTGTGACCACCAGGCCTCAACTCTCTGTCCTGTTTATTCACCCCACTAAAGTTTTAGGGGCACCCATTTTGCACCACTGGGCCAAAGACCCTGGATATGGTGATGGATGCGGCAGAGAGTCTGCTCTCACGGACTTGGTGTTCTGAAAGGGGGAGACGAGCAGCAAACAAACGAGTGAGGGAGGCCATTTCAGCTGGTGACGGAAATGACACACGATGATGAGTTGGGGGGTCCAGAAGGCGACGTGTGAGCAGAGACCTGAATGTCTGGAAGAAGCCAGCCATGCAGAGATGCGAAGGCAGAACCTTCTAGGCAGAAGAGCAGGTGTAACGCGGGGATGGGCGAGGCACGCTGGGGCAGAAAGCAGCCCCGGGTGGCTAGAGCGGGCGAGCGAGGAGTCGGGGATGAGGCCAGCGGTTGGCAGGACCTTGTGGGACATGGTGGCGGTTTGGATTTTAATCCAGGTGCTCTGGAAAGCTGTTGGAGGGTTCTGAGTAGGGGAGAAATGTGAATGTTGCATGACCACGTGATAATTCCGTGTCCAGTTCTTTGGGCTGATGTTGTCTTCCCTGAGAAGCTGAGGGCTGGGCCTGTTGTGTCCTGTTCGCCCAGTAGCCTCACTACAGGGCATGGGTCTGGCTCTGTAGCTGTTTCGTAAACGCTAAGTACAAGGAATCTCAGGATTTCACTCCAGATTCTTTTGATTGTAAGTGATGCAAAACCCAACCCAGACTGGTTTAAGCAAAAGGAGGAATTTGTTGACTGACATAACAGCAGAGTTCAGGGGGCAGGTTGGCTTCAGGTGTGGCTGGAAGTAGGCGTTCGGAGGACGTCACTAGGGTCTAGTTTCTCCCTCTCTCCTCTTTGCTCTGATTCCTTGGGGTGGACCCCATTCTTAGACGTGTTCTTCCCTAGAGTGGAGGAGTGGTGGTGCAGTGGGTTCGCCTCCTTTTCCTCCAGGTTCAAGACCTGAGGCGAAGAGCAACTCCACGTTCTTGATAATTCAAACAGAAGTTCTAGAATTCAGTCTCGTTGGTCTTGACTGATCTCACTGGGGTCATATGCACCCTGAACCCATCACTGCTACCTGGAAAATGTCATTCTCTCTCTCAGGCCTGAGCCGGAAGTGGAGTCAGCTCCATTGGAACTCAGGGACTAAGAATGAGGGGGTAGCTGCCCCCCAAATATGAAGAGGTGGTAAAAAGTTGGAAGGCAGGGGTGAATAGATGCCGATGTCCAAATGATAATAGATGTTCGTTGTGCTCAGTCTCCTGAAATTCGAGTCTTTCCAGTGAATCAATGTGGTCGCTGGTTTTTGGCCCCCTTGGCTATGTGCCTCTCTCTGGCCGGCTGTGCAGGCATCTCGCCCGTCCCCGTGGGTCCCCACAGGTGAGTTCTTCCTCCTGGATCTGGGTTGTGCTGTTATGGTTCTCGTTCATTTGCGCCCAGACCTCCTCCTGACTTTGAAATCCAGGGCCTTTCCCCGTATACTAGACGCAGTCTGGGCAACAGACAAGAGCTGCGGTGTTTGCTCCAACCATGCATGGGGCAGGTGTCACAAAAATAGAGGTGATGCTCCTCTTGGTGCACATGGTCTGTGCGGAGTCTTCAGCTGTGGAATCTGAAAGCTGTCTCAAGATTTTGTGGTCCTTAAGAAGGACTCTGTTATCATTCCCTTCCTAAACGCTCAAAAATCCTGTTTTGCAACATGGTTTAAACTAATTGCATAAACAGGATTATAGGAGTAGGAGATAGTTAAGAGAATAACCATACTTCAGGTGCCTTAGAAACAGCCATTTACATACAAATAGTAGAAGCCAACAATTTAATAATGAGCTTTTAAAGTCTAATTTCAGTTACTATGTGTATTTTTAATTACAAACTATACTACTTTAAAAGATTTAATTTTTAACCAATTTAAACAGTTCTAAAGCATAGATTCTTACCGTATATGTTTTGATAATCAAAACGAGAATCTTCTTTCTTTTGTATCATTTTAAAAGATTGCTGAAGTACACTTTTGTTTCATCTTGGGGCAACAGTTCTTTTCTAGAGGAAGACAATTTCCGTGTCATTTTTAAGGAAGGAAAGAAAATTCAGTGTTCAGAACTCTAAGTCACTTTTTCTTAAAATCAGGCACAATTCCACACGTTACTTTGCAAGGGTCGGGGTTGTGAGCCGGGGAGAGAAGCCTCCTGATTGGGAACAGCTCTGCCCAGGCCTGGCTGCGGGACCGTGACTGAGATGTGGGGAAATCAGTGCGGCCGATTGGAAGCAGGCATCTAAGAAGACGCGATTGTGGGTTAGAATAGTTCCTGAATGTACTGGGAAGCTGCTAGAAGTGTCCACTGAGTAAATCTGGTCTCCGTTTTTGAAGAGATGATGTTCCTCCGCATCCCAAGATGCAGTTCTGTAGGGCAGTTGAGATATGGCTAAACTCATGCCCTTACAATTCCTGAGAACAGACCTGTCTCATGAGCACTCGTGGCCGTGGGGGTGCGGCCGGGCTGCGATGGGCGTGCACATCCAGTAACAGGAAACCCCATGTGGCATCTGTCAGGCCCTTCTGTGATCCCTCTGAGTCACGGTGGTTTGTGGGGCACATGCCTTGTCGTTTGAAGATATCTCCCAAACTGACCCTGAGCATGAGGCCAACTGCAGGTGACATCCGGCAGTAAGGAGCTTTGTCCAGAAGTGGGGGCGTGTCATAGAGCTGGGTGGGGCTGATTCTCGTGGGCGTTACAAACCAGGCTTGGGGGCCGGCCCTGTGGCCAAGTGGTTAAGTTCTCACACTGCACTTCAGCAGCCCAGGGTTTCGCCGGTTTGGGTCCTGGGCACGGACATGGCACCGCTCATCAGGCCATTCTGAGGCGACATCCCACGTAGCACAACCAGAGGCACTCACAACTAGAATATACAACTGTGTACCTGGAGGCTTTGGGGAGAAGAATAAAAAAAAAAAGAGGAAGATTGGCAACAGATGTTAGTTTAGGTGCCAATCTTTAAAAAAAACCCAAAAAACCAGGCCTCTGTGTCAGCCCATTGCTCCATCTGTCTCACCCTAACCATACATAGGACTCGAAGTGGGTTGTCACGTAAACACCTACAATGAAGCGGCCACTAAGAAGCATTTTGAAGACTGAGAACTAAGGGAGCGAGCTCTGGGGTGGTGAGGACGATGGCCGTGTCGTAAAGGCCTGCCTCGGGGGGACAGCTGCCCTCACGGTAGGCTCTGCTCTGTGACACCCAGAGCGCACAGGGAGGCGACGGAAGCCATCCTCGAGGGCGAGCCGTGACTCCCTGGCGCTGGAGGCCATGATTCTTTTGAATGAACTGTTGCTTTGTTGCTCAGGTAAACGCTTTGTGCCGAACAGCGCCATGAAGATTTCTCTTTTCTCCCCAAGGGAACTGAACAGCATGGGGATCTGGTATCGAATGGGCAGAGTACCAAGAAATCATGACTCATCTCAACCCACGACGCCTTCCCAGTCATCAGCAGCGTCCACCCCGGCCCCCAACCTTCCCAGGTGAGGCCTTGTCAGTGGCGGCTCATGCCGCTCTGCACGTCACAGTCATGTGGTCTGGGGTCCCCCTGCAGAACGTTTGAGAACACCTCCACTTCGTTTCTGCTGAAATAGCACAGAAGATAGCTGAAAAATTGCAGAAGAAATATACCTTTAGAGGAGATGTTTAAAATCCAGTTAGAAATCTGTGCATTACATGAATGTAAAGGCCATTCTCTGTTCTATTTTGTACATATTCTGCAGGCTCCTAAAATAGCAGAATATGCGACTTTAAATGGGCTTGCTCTCCTAAAGAGCTGATAGCTGCACACAGACACAAGCTTTGCAGCCATGTGGTTGGGAACAGGGGCCGTAAGAAGGTGGGAGTCCTTCTCCGCCTTGGCCAGCCACCCGTTTGAAACCCAGGAGGGCTGGTAATTAATTATGCTCATTTTCATATTGTTTCTCTTCCCGATGAGCTACACACTAAGAATTGAGTAGTTTGGGTGGGAGAACAGCGAGGTGTTCTTCAGGGGCTGTTAGTTTTAATAATCGTTTCCACAAAGAAACTTGGGAGAGCAAACTGGCCACTCAGCAGCCGGTTTCAGTCCTAATAGAGGTGGCCGTGGTCTTCTGCATATTCTGCAAGAAGCAGATGGTAAGAGAATTCTGTCGGATAAGAAACCTCTGCATCACTAGTAGTAAATTATTGGAGGACAAGGAACAAACAGCGATGATGGATGAAGTTTGAGAAAAGGATTACCAAAGTAAATAAAACAGCTGAGAACTGGTGAGGCAGCGTCATTTGGGGATTGATGTAATGTACATGAGAACGGATGCAAAAGCTTCCATGTGGGCGAACAGAGGTGAACAAAACCTGTCAGGAGCAGGACAAGGCGGCCAGCAGTCAGTGGTGGGCTTGTCCTGCTGACCTCACAGCCCCGCCCTGCCCTCGGGAGGGGCAAGGAGATGGCCATATAGCCGTGGCTCTCGCTCTGTTCATCGGGCTGAGCGTCTGCCTCCTTCTGAAGAATGCAGCTGTCGAGAGCCAGCAGCTCAGAGGACTCTGTCCTTCGGGACATCCCCCCCAAAGACAGTCTGGTCTTTCTCCTGTGAAACTGTCACTTAACCATCCTTGGAGTTGCCTGAAACCTTAGGAGCAGTTTTCAGTTCCACTTTGGTAGGAAAAAATAGGAAGAGCTAATGGCTGCCCAGAGGTGCAGGGTGAGCCAGCGGGTGAGTGTCAGGGGGTTAGAAGCGCGAGGCGAGCACGGCTCCAGGCAGCACTTCTCATTCCTTTCTCACTACCCAGGGCCCTGTCACAGCTGCCCTCACTGTCACTGTGCTTGGGTCATCTCAAGCCCATCCCCTGTGCTAGGGGTCATCTCAGGTCCATCCCCTGTGTGTGGGGTCCTCTCAGGCACATCCCCTGTGCTGGGGGTTGTCTCAGGCCCATCCCCTGCGCTGGAGGTTATCTCAGGCCCATCCCCTGCGCTGGGGGTCATCTCAGGCCCATCCCCTATGCTGGGGGTCATCTCAGGCCCATCCCCTGAGCTGGGGGTCATCTCAGGCCCATCCCCTGCGCTGGGGGTCATCTCAGGCCCATCCCCTGGGCTGGGGGTCCTCTCAGGCCCATCCCCTGAGCTGGGGGTCCTCTCAGGCCCATCCCCTGCACTGGGGGTCGTTTCAGGCCCATCGCCTCTGCAGTACATACACCTGCTCCCTGTTGGCATCATTCGCTCTGGAAGGACCTAGAAATGGGCACCACCTCAGGGCAGGTTTTAACTTTCTGTTGGATAAAGGAAGAGCACTGATTCTCCTAGGTAAATAGGAAGGGTGGTCTCCCCAGAAGCTTGCTGGTCAGCATGAGAGCAGCGTCACTAGCAGCTGAAGTGAGAGGACCCAAGCACAGGCTGTGGGGAGCCAGGCAGCCCTGGAGGTAGTCATCAGAACAGCGTGTTTATCAGGCTTATATATTTTATTGCCTCTTGTTGTACAGTTTATGGTTTACAATGGCTGCAAGGAAATTGGATCAGTTTTGTTTTACTTGCCAAATAAAACAAATGTCAAAATAGTCAATATAAAATGTATTCTAATTTGGCTGAGTTAAGTCCGCCACCATGCTGTTGGATAATTGAATGTTACATGAAGACTTTTCCGAGTAAAAACCACCTGTCTGTCCCCAGTCCTCTGTCACTGTGCGGTAACTTACAGGTGGCACGCCCCCCAGTGGGAACCTGCTAATTCATCAGGGGCTTATTGTGTCTTTGGTTTTTGTATTATTTTCCTATCCAATATCTTTGATTTAAAAAAAAAAATGAAATGCGGATTCAAATTCGCCATATGAAATGACGAGCACGTCACTTTATCCCTCGAGGCTCTGTACTCTGTCCAGCAGAGGAGGCTGACAGCTTTCTCTCCGGTGGTGAGCCCTGGGAGTGCCCGCTGTGGGGTCTGCAGGGTGAGGCCTCCAGCTCCGCTCCCGTGACTTCTGCTCTTCTCTCTCCCGTCCCCAAGCCTCAGACTGTAAGCTGAAGTGGTAGCCTCTTCTTCCCTTCCTGTTTTGTGCCTCTGTGCCTTTGCTCGTGTTGGCACCTGTGCGCCGGGTGTGTCTCGCATCCCCTGCCTTAGATGCCGCCTCTCCCAGGAAGCCTTCCCTGACCGCCCTGTGCCTGGGCCTGAGCGCTTCTCGGCAGTCATGCCTTCACTTTGTGTTGTGGTCATGTCGTGAACTCCCTGAGGGCAGGGCCGTGTCCAGAGCCTGTTGCCTCCCAGCGCTCAGCGCAGACCCAGGCAGGTATTGACTTTTACAAGAGACGCTTCTCCAACAGACGAGGACCCCGTGCTGCAGCCCCCTCACACCTCCTTCAGACAGCTCCTCAGTCCCTGAGCGCTCCTCGGGTCTTTTTCTGACTCTGAGAGTAATACAAGGTGGTGGAAAATTGACAGTATAGAAAATAATGAAAAAGCAGAAATCCCATTTCCGGTGAGCAAAGGCTCAGAACCTCTGGTTATAGTTCCTTCACGTCATTTTTCCGTGTACTTTTTACATAGGTGGTATCATATCATGTAAGAGCAAGTTTGTGTTCGGCTGCCTCCTTCTCATGTAATATTAAACCGCAAGCGCAAGAATTCCTCCTCCCAGCCGGCCTTTGTGTGGACGCGGGGACCGCTCGCTGAGCCCGGCCGGAGTCAGGGCGGTGACGCAGCGCCCTCTACTGACCGCTCTGGGCGGCGGCGGGAGGACGGCGGCGGCTCCCGAGAGTGGGCGGCGGCCGGGCTCCCAGCGCCGCCCTGGGGGCGCCGGAAGGGAAGGAGGCAGGGGCCGCAGCAGACCTTGTTGCCTTCTTGAGCTCTCGTCTCAAAAGCTGAGAACAGGTGCTCTGCCTCCTTTTCTTATGTCATCACTCATCTTTCCAAGAATTCCCTGCCGTCTTTGGAGAGCTGTTATCCCCAGCATGTCTCAGACAAAAGGGGCGGCCGGTGGACCTTTTCAGAGACGATGGGTCAGCACCCGTGGACCTCATGGTCCCAGCTGAACAGCTTTCTCTTTCCAGGGGCAGGGACCGCCCCAGACACAACACTTCCTGCCTGTTTCCTTCTGTCGTTTCAGATAGTGCTCCTCTTGGGGCCAGATGTGGGGTTGTCATTTCAGGATGGGTGGGTCCCAGAGAGACAAGGATGCCCCTTGGCTGGATCCAGTGAACTGGACACAGTGTTCAGTGAAGTTCATGGCAAAAGGCAGGACGTCTTGGCAGAGCCCCTCCTCCTGGTTCCCTGAGTCTTTCCCTCCCACACGTACAGCTCTGGACACGGTCCTCCACATTTTCTGAGCAAAGGGCCGCTTCGGCCGGGGGCTGGGAGCCTCTGTTTTGCCTGGGCGCTCGTGCTGCTCCCTCCTCTGCCCACCCACTTCACGCAGGTTGATCAGCAGGATGGGGTTGCGGTCGGGTTCCAGCTCCACATCTCCCTTCTGGGCTGGCCTCGGCTCTGCGGGTCAGCCCGGTGCATCTAAGCAGACGACAGAGGCCATGGATCCAGGCTTTTCTGACTCTTCCGTGCTGCTGCCTGGGCAGGGTGCAGGTGGAGGAAGCACTTCCCCCGTGGACCAGAGCAGCCCCACTCCTCTCTCACAGCCCGGGTCTCACATATGACTCTACTGGAAGAAGGGGTTCTGCTGCTGCCTGGACCAAGGTTCAGAGAAGCTCTGGAAGGCAGGCGGGTTCACAGCTGATGCAGCACCAGTCGCCCCAGAGTGTGGATGAATGAATGCTTGTGTCGGCCGGGGAGGGGCCCTTGGCGGACTGCTGCCCCCCGGCTTGCCGAGCAGTAAAACTAGTGGCTTAATGAAGACATCAGAGGCATGCTTATCAAATTTGCAGATGACACAGAGCCATTAGGGAGAGCTGATGTGCTGAATGACAGAATCAATACTCTGCATCTCCACAGCCAGAACACCCTGCTGGAACCAGGAGACGAAAGGTGATGGGCGAAAATGGACAGGGCCCGCCAAGAGTCAAAAAATCAATTGCACAAGAGCCAGATTGAGGGGCCCTGGCTTAGCAGTGGTTTGTGTGAAATGACTCGGCTGGGCACGAAGGAGCCTGGGTTGTGTGGAATGCAGCCTGGCGTGCACAGCGGGGCACATCCCACGGGATGGTGTCCCACACCTGTCAGGTACATCGAGAGTTCACCTCCACTGCCTCGTGCCACCTTGTAAAAGTTACCCAAATCAAGCATTGAATTTGAGTATGAGGAATCGCCCCGTTTTCACCTGGGTCGAGACACGGCAGCTGCTTCAGGTGTTTAGACGGTCAGTATGTAGAAGGGAGAATCGCATTGTTTCCAGCTGGGATGGGTTGTTGGAAGCCCCAGAAGGCACGATTGCGTCAGGTGGACTGAAGTGACAAGGGGTAGATTTGGGCTTCACACTTAAAAAGTTAATAAAGGAAACTTCTCGAAGGTAAAAATCTTGTTGCATTGAAGAAGCTGACAGGAGAGGTCGTGTGCCCCCAGCTGCTGGCGGAAAGCAAACATCATTTGGAGTCTTCACACCTTCAGCGTTTCGTCTCAGTCCTGACTGAAGAAATGCATCGTGTTCCTGGCGCCCGCCCTCAGAAATTCAGAGTCAGCAGACCTGCGTATTAGATCTTGCCAAGGGCGCCTCTGGGAAGCGCCAGTGGGTGGGGAGGGTGCAGAGCAGTGACGTTTGTCACCGAGGGCCTCACACAGCTTTCAGTGCTTCCTCAGTGTCCTCCGAATTACGGCCCAGCAGTGCCAGTGTGAGGGAAGGAGGATGACTGCGGGGCGCCTGCTGTGGCCCCCTCCCTGGGGTGGAGGGCGCAGAGGGCGCTCGGCTGTGCTGACACCGTGACTCCGTCCCAGCCTTGGCATGCCAGAGCTGAGTGGCAAGCGTTTTGTTTCCCTTTCAGAGCCCATCTGAAGTAAGTGGTCCGGAGTGCTGGAATTTCCAGGACGTTTTGTGTCTTTGTGCACGTTGGTCTAGGGCTGTCCTAGAAAATGCAGAACCTGTGGTTCCAGGAGCTCGACGCTGCCCTTCCCGGCAGCCTGGGGTGCTGAGTCCAGTGTGCTGTGGTCCTGAAGGAGACGCCGCTGCCTGAACTCTGCTCCCCACAGGCCTCCGGCCATGGGCGCGTCCTGTGGCCCGTCACCGACACTGCCCCTCCCCTGGGAGGGAGCGTCACCTTCCCTCCCAGAGCCACAGAGCGCATGGCTCCTTTCCCAGCTGCCGAGTCCTGCCCCACAGCCTCTGCCCACGAGGGGCAGCCCCCCGCCGAGCCTCTCCCTGGAGTCAGGTGGCCGAGCTTCCCTTATAAGGTGTGTGGTGCTGCCCTGAGTTGTTCTAGAATCTTCCGGGGATTTGTCAGCTTCCAGCAAGTTGTCAGTCACAGGTTCCGAAGTATGTTTCTTAGTGACAGACATAATTGTACTTAACTTTTTGCGTGGATGTTATCAATCTGTGACAGATACTCTGGGAAATGGGGCATTTTGATTGCAGAAGATCTGTCACACGCATTTAGTCTTCCTCTTAGGGACACCAGGATTCAGTCACAACTTTTGCATGTCGATGTCAGGTTTTGAGAACATAGATCGTGGTTGACCTCAAAAATCGTTCCGTCGCTCCGATCCCAGGGCTGTCATCTCAAAGGTTAATGGCTCGTCCCAAAGGAGAGAAAAAATCACGCCGCGGTGATCTAGAATTCCTGCCACGCGGCCCGGGCTCATCCACCATCACATCCATTGTCAACAGCCCATGAGCCGCTGCGCTCCGTCCTGGCCTCCCTGACCCCGCCTTCCCGTGGACGTGGGTGGGATCAACTCTGCTGCTTGATCAACCGCAGAAGAAGCCAGCATCGGAAGCAGAAGCTTTGCTCGCCGGCTGGATCCTGTTGACTAAGCTGGCGGCTGCCTTCTGTCCGTGTTCAATTGTAAGACGGTCTCTGCACCACAGGTGACAGCTGTCACCTGCCTGTTGTTGCAGGACTTGAAGGAGAGGCCAGAATGGCCCAGACTGGGGAGGCCGAGTCTTCCTTCTCCCTTCGAGGTGTTTGTCTGAGCGGCGGAAGGCTTGGAGTGGAGGGACTGCATGTGCGGAGGCCCGGCTGCTTCTCCTCGATTACAGGGTTAGTTGGAGAAGGCTCAGCCCAGAGGATTGGAGGGGATTTATTTGAGTTGAAAGCTGTTGTTTACTCTAAGGTCATCATTTGTGAGAAGGGTCATGTGTGTCCTGCACCAAGGTAAGGCTAGCAGACAGGGCCGACGGCTGAGTCCAATCATATCTTTCCCCTAATAGTAAACAGCTTATAACTGGGATTTTGAGCTCCGCTTCCATAGCAGCAAGAGACGTTTTGGGGTACCCGACCCCAGGGGAGCCCTCGGCCCTGGCCCCATTAGAGGAGGGCTTGGGTCTTGCCGTTCCAGTGGGCCTTCAGATCCCATGCCTCTGCAGAGTGTCCGGGCGTAACTGTGGCTTTATTAGGAATAATTAGACTTCTTTTTCCTTCACACGAAAACTGCATCCATCTGAAGATGGGACACACGTTTTCATAACCTTCCTTGATGTGACACACTCCTTGTAAGATGAAAACTGTAATGCAGATTTGTGGGGGTTTTGCCCAAGGAGCACAAGCGTTGGCACTGTGCATTTGAATTAGCCTCGCTCTGCTAGCGGTACCGTCCACCCACTCCAGCCGAAAGTACCGACAGCCAGGGGTGTCTCAGAGAAGAACCCCCTGGAGGGGTAGGACCTGAACACCAATTCGAAGTTAGATTAGAGGTGGGGCTTCAGGGGGCTCATTATTTCGTTTAAATAGCCCACGTTTACATTCTTTGCCTGGAACTTTCAAGTCCTAGGCTGCCTGCCATCCCATTGGGGTTTTCTTCCTGTCTGGAACTTTCACTGGCTTCCTGTTATCTGACATGTCTCCCCCATCCTCTCCCGTTAATCAGACGAGTCTCCTCTTGGCTCCTGAGCACATGGTCCTCATTCCAGAAGCATCTCCGCTGTGGCCATTGCTGTGTGCCTTACCTCATGCCAGCTGCCCTCCTGAAAGAGGCAGACTGGACTCTAGAACGCCGAGGCTTGGTCCTGTCCACCCTCCAGACCTGGTGTAGCCCTCGCCTCTTCTAGAAAGCCGGGCCCGTGTCGTCTTCCCCGATCCTCACCTCCAGGTGCCTGCCCTGTACGCTTTGGCATTTCACGTTTCCCTCTCGTTGCTGCCTGTGTTTATGTTTGGTCTTATGACTACATTTGCCACTTATTGATGACCGGGATGCTCATGTTTCTTTTTTTTCTCCTTTAAAGCCTCAGAAAAGGCTAGTCACACAGAAATAAGGATGATAATATCACATCACTATGTATGGAAATTTAGCAAGTACTTTCAACTATGTCATCTCGTTCGATACTCACAGTAAGTGTTCAGTGAAAAATATGTGGCCTCGGAATGGTAGGGACCTTTGAACTCCAGGGGCCGGGCATATGGTAGGCACTAAAAAAATATTTTTTGAATGTGTAAAATGAGCTGGTTTAGATCCATCGAACCAGGTAGCATATATTTATCCATCTCTTCTTCCATCCATCTATCCGAGACACGTATTGCATTTACTAGGTGTCAGGCCCTGTTCCAAGTGCTTAACAAATAACAACTCCTTTAATCCTGATAACAGCTCTGTGAGTTGGGTGCTGTTTTCACCTCCGTCTTATGATGAGGAAACTGAGATCAAGGAAGCTAAATTCCTTCCCCAAGTTCACACAGCTCCTAAGTGTCAGAGCTAGGATTTGACCCCAAGCAGGTGAGTCACCTTTGGCGTGCACACTATCCCTGTGCCCTGATGCTTGTGGTCACAGGATCACTGGTTGTGCAGCATTTCACTGGGGTGCTGAGCCTGGGCCCCGAGGGGTTGCTGGTTGGGGTGCAGCCCCCCAGCTGTTCTAGCTCTCTTCACATGCAGCTTCTCCAGGCTCCTGACCAGCAGCTGGGAGATCAGGACTTCGCAGAGCGTGCACGTGTGGGTCGGGAGCTCATTGTCGTCCACAGGCCCCTCCGGTCGGAAGCCGCTGGAGCAGGCTGCATTCCCACTCTTCTGGGGAGACGTGCGAATGTTGGCTGGGGTCCAGGCCACTTGAGTTGTAGGTAATGACTGAGGGAAACATGTGGAGGCCATACCCAAGAGGGTCCCAGCGTCACAGCTCCCCTCAATGGCTTCAAAGCCTGCGATTAGGTAGGGTTACCAGCAGCTTGATTTATTCTGGTGATTAAGAGAGCGGTGTGATGGAGACCTACAGAGTAAGGGGTCTTTAAAATCCTCATGCCCCAGAGCTGTGACTGCTTCTGTCACAGCATCAAACTTAGTTTTGGTGTCAGAGTAACTTCGAAGGCAAAATTCCACTGGAATGCAGTTTGGTGTTGTTATACATGAATGATGAGTGTAGGCTGGCAACACACTTTTTGGTATTAATTTTTAATACGGCTTCTTGGGAAGTCAGAGCTTCCATTTAATGAAGAATTGACGGTTAGTCAATGAGCGTCCACCTCTGAGCCGGCCTCCTTGGCTTTCCCTCTCCCGCGTGAGGTTTTGCCAAGGCATTTGCTGCTTGTGAATGTGTTATCTCTGTAATTTTCATGATTCCATGACTGTCTGATTTTTCTCGGTGGTTGCAATGGTGCCGTGCGCTCCTCATGCCGTTGTCCCGGAAAGCAGGGTTATAAATGTGAAGTGATTTCCTCCTCCGCCAGGCTCTCAAGGGTACAAGCCTCTTTGTGAGGCTGGTTTAAGCTCCGGGGTTTGGAGAAAGGCCTTTTTCAGGATTATGAAAATAGTTTTCCGTGTGTCAGAACAGATTTATCAGTTCACTTTAGGGTCGGTTTTGTGAACCAGACCATTTAGAGGAGGATATTTTACCTTTTATCAGAGTGGAGGCTGACAGTCTATTTGCAGGGAGCTCCACAGAATATTTCACCTGGGTCTCTTGGTGTAAATCCAGCTGCCAAACAAAGTGAAAATGGGTGTTGAACAAGCGAAATTTCCCGGTATTTCACTGCACCCCACCCCCACCCTGTTCTATTTCAAAGCAAGGTTTCAATTATTAATTTGGATATTTAATGAAATCCTTTGCTTGCAGTAACTTTTAAAAGGCCTTTCGAATTCTTTGGATGGGGTTTTTGCCCATAGGTAGGGGAGCATTCAACTCGAATACCCTTCTTGAGCAGCAGATGTTTTGTTTCCAGTTGAATAGTAATATTAGTAATAATAATTATTAGAATAAATACAATTTTCATCATCATCATTATTATTTCAGCTACAATTTTTTAAGCATCTGTGCCAGGCAGTGTGTAAACACTCTCTATTGTTTTCATCTTTATAACCATATGGTGAGGTGAATAACAGTGTCCTCGATTTAAGAAATGAGGAAACTTGGGGCCGGCCTGGTGGCGCAGTGGTTAAGTGCCCACGTTCCATTTCGGCGGCCCGGGGTTCTCTGGTCCAGATCTGGGGTGCAGACGTGGCACCGCTTGGCAAGCCCTGCTGTGGCAGGCATCCCACATATAAAGTAGAGGAAGACAGGCATGGATGTTAGCTCAGGGCCAGTCTTCCTCAGCAAAAAAAAGAGGAGGAATGGCAGCAGTTAGCTCAGGGCTAATCTTCCTCAAAAAAAAAAAAACAAAAAAGAAATGAGGAAACTGAGCTTGGAGGGATGACGATGGACTTAAAGGCAGGCTTTAGAGGAGCCAGGATTGGAGGCTAGCTCCTGCCATCGAGTCCTCGCTGCCTTCGAGGAGCCTCAGGGCTTCGTGAATTCTAGGACCCTCTACCTCAGTGTCTCCTGCAGCCCACGTAGCCATGGCCTCTCAGGGGACCCCACACAGCCGTGAGCTATTCCAGATCCCAGCCGACATTCCACCTCCTTATTAGTCCTGGCTTTATTTTGCTAAACAAATTGTTTTCCACAGCCTTGGAGATTGGTCGGGCAAGAAGGAGAAGAATGTGGCCTTGGGTTCTTTGTCAGGGTTGGTTGTTCCTGGTCCAGACCCTTCCCCGCCCGCCTGTGTCACGCACGGATCCTTTTATGAATCTGAGTTTGGCAGCCTCAGGACTCTTGAATTTTGGAGAAGCGGATATTTTAGTAGGCTGGAAGAAGATGAAAAGCTAGCCGTGCCCATATGTTCCTTGTTTTTAAAAGCAAGGTCAGCGAGGTTTAGAGACTCTTTAAATATTTCAGTTTATAAGATTAGACTAGATCATCTGGAATGGAAGCCTGGTGCCCTCGGTCCCAGACTTGGGTTTTTTCTTCATTTCTTTTATACGGGCGTGAGGCGTTTTGGCATCGCTGAGTTCAAGTGTAATAAAACTTAAATGTAGTGAATAAATACTGCGATTTGGAGTGTTGCTGCAGCTATGAAAGTTAGTTTCCTGTTTTTTTCTTTTCTTAAGTAATCAGGGACTTGAAAAATAGCACATTAGTACAAGGAGGATGACTTAAGAACCCGAAAACCCCCCAGCTTGAAAGGAGTGTAGTCTTTGGTGTTTTTCTAAGGAAGCATTTTCTTCTCTCACTTAAGTCCTCCTGGGCTGAAACCAGACATCCATCCTGAAATGGACGTCTGAATAGTTTGAAATTCAACACAAGCGCACATCTTTAGTGAAGGCAGTGCCGTCCTTTGCCCTCATTTTTCTCTAGGATTATGAATGGAAAATGATATGGTCGTTGTTTTCTTGATCCCAAGATATTTATAGAAGCTCAGAATCTGAGTGACGGTCTAGCCTAACCCCAGGTTTCCACTGAGGAGCCCTTGGTAGGGCCCCGTTGGTGACATACCTGGGGAGAGGGAGGGCCCGGAGTTGGTCTGCCTCCCGTCACAGTGTGCCTAGCATCTTCCACTTTCCACGGGAGGTGGGACAAGAATCGTTTTTACTGCCCTTGGTCCCTGACGTGAGCTGCTGGGAGACCCTTGGAGGAGAGAGGGCTCCGAATGCCCAGAGAGGAGGGCCCTTGACCTGGTTTCCGGGGCCCCGCCCGTCTCCCACCATAGAGGAGCTCTGTGTTCACTGGCATTGCCTGTCATGTTCCATTCACTCTTCATACCTCTCCGACTCTAAATTTCAGGAGTAATTTGTCACTTCAGAGGAAGGAGTCATTAATAACCATTATTTAGAACTGTCGAGACTTCCTCTCTGTGTGTGAGTGTCTGAGTTAAGCATCCAAAAAATTGGCCTCGTTGGTGGCAAACAGGGCCCCCATCTTGACAGACCAGGCCCGCCCCACCCCCACTGGCCTTTCTCACATTCTGGTTCTTCCAGGTCTGTCTTTAATCACCGGGAGGGTGGCGACAGAGCAGGGAAAGCACGTCCTCCTGGGATTCATTAGTATTATTTCCAAAGGCCCTGTTGTAAATTGTTGATTTTTTTTTTTTAACTGCTTGGAAAAAATTTCTCAACTACTTCATTTTAACGTACTTAAAAAAAAAGGAAGATTTTTCTCATCAAACGTTTGAAACAGAATAGTTCAGAAACCCTAACTCGGATCCCACAGTCAAATGAAGCTGAATCGGTGACTCGTCACTCTCGGGTTGTGGGATGGGGACCCAGGAAGAACCCCCAAACCTTCCGACGGTGGTTAAGAAAGGGAATTGGCATTCAACGTCTGTTAATGCACGTTGTTATTCTTTAACATTAAAATTCCACTGAAGTACTAATAATTACTGTTAATATCTTTCAGTGGAAACTTACAGTACACGAGCAATAGTAAGAACAGTGTTTAAGGGAGAGCTGCCGGCATGATAAGAATGCAAATAAGTGTTATTAGCCTAATGATTTTGCCGTCGCCATGGCTGTGCGGCGGCAGTGTTGTGAATATGTCACGCAGCACCCGTGAATTTGGAAAGTGTGTCAAAACACAACTTCAATTAGTTTGCTCTAATTATGGCTCTGGAGAGTTTGTAACTACATCACTCCTCATTAAAAGAGATTTTCTTATATGGATTAATGTAATATACAAAGGAAAGTTTCGAAGTTCCCGACGCCATTTGCTGCCACAACGAGCAAGCTCGGAGCAGGGCAAGTGGATCCTGGGTCTCCCGCTGCCCGGCCGGGGCCGAGCCGGGGCTGCAGGGGGGCGGCTCTCCCCACCAGCCACCGGTAATCAGCTTCCTGCTCAAAGTGGCCCTTGTGAGCGCAGCTTTGACGATTTCCACAAGAGGGTAATTGAGCCCATCTCAAGCTTTTAAGAGAAAATCGCTAATCTGAAAGTATCAGCATGTCCCTCATGCTCAGCACCTCAGTGGAGTCTGGAGCCAGAAAGATCCATCATGGCCAAGCGCATTGCGCGAAGCCGGCCGTGGGTCCTGTCCCAGGGCCCGTGGGGGAGATTTCATGGGAAAATTTGTTCTTTTTGGTCATGCAGGATCACACGGGCGTCTGTGAAGTGCGAATAAAAGTCTTTTATTTTAAGGAGGTGTTCTCTCTTACCTAAACTGATACGTACTTATGAATGCTGTTGTTGAGAGCCGTTGACATTTTGAAGGACAAAACCAAATGCACATTCCCCCTCCTGTTACTGACCCTTCCCACCCCTGGGACACCAGCAGTGCCAGTGCTCTGCAGGGCCTGCCCGGGCAAGGCTCCCCTCTCCAGGCCTGGATGGCCACCCCGTGTCTCAGGTGGGCCGTACAAGGCCATTTCCCGGAGTTTTGCTGGCCCTTCCCCTTGCCCCGTTGTCCCAAGCAGCTGGCCACAGCAGCGTGGTGACTCCCCGATTTGGGGAGCTCAGTGGTGCATTTTGAATCCAGGAGCGAAATTTTAGAATGCTGGTTGAGGAGGCCTGAGTTTTGGTTGCACCCTCCCCACCCCCCAAATTGTTTGCATAATATGGAATAATCCACAATACAGCTTTGAATACATTTTTTTGACCTTTAAGTGTTCTCTTTGTCATTATTTGTGGTGAGTAGAAGGTGTGTGTGTGTGTGTGTGTGTAGTAATTTGACCTCCTTACACCACTCACAAGCAGTGTTAGCTCGAATGAGTCCTAGCACTCCTCTGACCCTCGGTTTCCTGTTCTGTAAAATGGGCATGAGAATACCTTCTTTGCAGAACTGTTGTGAGCACTACAGCAGGGAACACGTGGACGTGCCACGCCAGGCACACAGCGGGCACTTGTGCGCGTGTGGCTTTCTGTGTCTGTGCAGGGTGCGTTTCAGAATTTAGCTGAGCACCAGCAGTTCATTCCCTTAGGCCTTTCTCTTGCCAAGGTTTGGCTCCTTTCCGCCCTGGCTGTAGCTCCAGTCAGCCCCACTCCCCTCCGAGCTCTCCCGGAACCAGCCTGGGGGGCGCAGGCATCCTCCCCCCGCAGAGCTGGGACCAGACTCGCTGTGCGCACAGGTGAGCAGCTGGTAAGGGGTTAAGATAGTAATTGTGTAAGTCGTCCAGGCTTTCTCCCAGTTCTGCGATAATTTGATGAAGAACTTCACCCTAATTAAATATTCAAATTAGGAATAAGTGTCAATATGGCTTCCCATTGCCTGGAATGAGGATTAATTGTATTCAAAACTCCAGTGGCCCGCTGTAATCTAAACCGAACCGTTGTTCTTGATTATTTCTGCACCACACTTGCCATGTTTTTGTTTTAAGATTTAAACTAGTAATTGATTTGCCATATGCTGTCGAGCTGCACATACTTTTAAAGCTTTGCGCTCAGGAACCTGGGGAGTTTGGAATTGTGATTTCCTTAGTCTTCCAGCGGCAGCTTTTTTTCCTTATCCAATGCAGAGTGATGTGGTTGGGGGCGTGTGCGCGTCTGTATCTGTCTGTCTGTATGTGTCTGTGTTGCCCATGAGGAAAACTCATTATATAGTCCAGTTGGTAGGATGAAGTTATATTGATCATGGCAAATGGGTTGCTTGAATGGAAAATGAACAAGTCTGCATTTATACTTACTTTTTGCTTTGCATTGTCTCAGTAAAGCCACATGGCGTAGAAGAAAAAGCATAAACTCAAATCCTAGCTCAGCCAGGTTCTTCAGCTGTGTGACCTTGGGCAAGTTCCTTAACCTCTCTGAACTCCCTCTCCCCCCATCTATAGAATAATACTTACCTTGCTGGGTTGTGATGATTAGAGATGAGTGTGAAGCATGAAGAAGAGCGCAAGTGCTCAGGAAGTGGTGACCGTCATAGGCACAGATGGTTACAGGAACAAAGCCACCCCCGACCGTCTGAGTCAGAAGCGATCTCCCACTTCTCTACTCCAGAAGCCTCATCGCCCGTGTCTTACTTCGTGACATCTCTTAGGTCCTTGTCTTGTGAATTACTGTTCTGTTGCTCCGGCCTTTTCTCGACCTCCAGCGCTTTCTTTGCTCGTGGCAGGTGGGGCCACAGCCGCCATGTTGCTGGACACTCCACAGTGCTTCATGGCGCGTCTGCACATGGCGGCACGCCACAGGTGTCTGTTGTTTTCCCTTGTTTGATGCCACTTTTGAAATTGAAGCCTATAAACTTGCAGTCTTCTATTTGCATATCTTATAATATTTAGAGCTTTTTACTTTCTGATATAGGGGATTTATGTGTGTTTCAGTTTATTTGTAGATCAGTTCCTGAAGGGCAAAAGACATGAGGGTTTACCAAGGCTGAACCTACGCTGACCCATCATAGTCACCCAAAGTCCACTGTTTCCCTTCAGCCGGGTTCCCTCTTGGTGCTGCCCAGTCTGTGGGTTCGGACAAATGCATAGCGACGTACGTCCATCGTTATAGTATCACACAGAGATCTTCACTGCCCTAAAAATCCTCTGTGTTCTGCCTGTCCATCCTCCCCTCACCCCCTCTGGCAACCACTGACCTTTTACTGTCTCCATAGTTCTGCATTTTCCAGAGTGTCATAGAGTTGGAATCATATAGTATGTAGCCTTTTCAGATGGGCTTCTTTCACTTAGTAATATGCATTTATCATTTGATTTTTTTAAATTATGTCAGTGCCAGACACGTACTTGGCCTGTGGTAGGACCTCAGTTAAGAACTGGTGGGCTGTGTTGGTCACAACACACTGATTATAGCAGCTTTGTATGGCCATGGATGCCACCGTGCGTCTCCTCTTGGATGGCATCAATTCATTGGGTCTATTTAGAATTAAGTTTCAGGTCTGGGCATAAAAAGTTTGTGAGATAGTGACTGTCGTTGAGAAGGAACAGGTCTGTTTTGGGTTTTACAAAACCTCACTTGACTTTGCCGGTGTCAATTACAAAACAAAACTGTCTCATCAGACCGTGAGCAATGGTAGTAAACTCCACACACGGTGATTTCTCTCTGAGGTTGGCTCCAAAATCAATGAGACAAGAAAAATCGCCACATCTAAAAATATTCTAGGGCCTTGAGTCATTAAAATAACGGACTTTCTGTTTTAGTAGAACCAAGTAACAAGAAAAAATTGCAACATGATCTCGCGTCTCTGGGTCTTCACAGATCTGAATCGTAACTCAGAGCCTCAGTCTGGAAACCCAGGGGGCCTGAAGCAGGAATCCTGGCTGTGAAGTCTTTGAGGAGTGTGCTAGTGCGGGGCCGGCCTTCCAGCTGAAAATGATTCGTTTTAATTACCTTCCAGGCCAATCCAATACCGGAGCATATGGTCCTTAAGAAAGAAGCTTCCCCAGACTGTCAGTGAGTGTGGGCAATGGTCAGGGACCTCGTTCTGACACCGCTGACCAGCCTTGGAGAGCGGACGCTCTAGAAGGTGCTTATTAAAATGCCAGCAGGTGCACCAAGGGTCCCCTTTCCTGCGACTCCCTCACCCTGCCTGTGCCAGGTGTTTTATAAGAGCCTTTTTCTTCATTAAATGGCATTCATTAAGCACGTCCTTACACCTGGCACAGAAGCTGTGTGTCACAGATGACTTCTTCCCAATGGTGTTTTGCAGAATAAAGTGGAATTTCATTTAGCCATTTGCTGTGTTCTTTCTCCCCCGACCACCTTAACTCAATCATTGCGGCTTTTGCATATCCCTCCTCCACCCACCCCAGGGCCGTTACTTTCCTCTGCATATCACCTCTGGTCAGTTGTCCACCAGCGGACACGTTATCCAGAAAACTATTCTTCTCCTACTTTTTGCCATCCTCTTCTTACTGATAAAAAGAAAAATAATTTCTCATTAAAAAAAAATTAACACATAAAAATATATGAAAAAGCAGGGGAGAAAAAATCCACACCCTCACCTCAGACTTGTGTTGTCCACACCATGAGCACCGTCCCTAACCCCAGTCCTGCCGTCGGCACAGGGCCGTCACTGCCGTGAGTTGGCATGTCCCTCAGGTCCCGTTTGTACAGTGACATGTGTGTATATGTGTACCCATAGAAATATATTGCTTGCATGGTTGTTGACATATATGTCATTCCACAACTTGGTTTCTGTTTTGTTTTGACATAGTAGCTGTGTCTTTGAGATTTGGCCATGTCGATTATAGAAATGTCTGCCTCATTCCTCCTTCTTGCTCTGTCCAAGTTTAGTATTAGATGAACATTGTCCCAATTCGTGACTCTTATGACCGCCTCCCGGAGGATCCGTCCCGCCTCCTCTGCAGCCGGGATCACGCTGCCCACACGGTCTCACCCTGCATTCCTCAGTCAGCATCACCTCGTGAGCACCCTCCCCCGACTTCCACCCAGAAAACCTGAAAACCATCTTACGCCTGCAACACATTACGAATCAGACATTTTATAATGTCATTTCCAGTGTTCGAGCACAGCGTTGTGATTCAGAGCTGAATTTTGTAATTTGCCCCATCAGGGTTCAAATCCAAGCTGTGCCCCCTCAAGCAAGCTGCTGACCCTTTCTGAGACCGTCTGAAACAGAGGCAGTCTCAGCACCGAGTTGTGGGATCCAGATGAGGGGCGTGGTCACAGGATACACGTGAAGGGTGGGCCCTGTGAAAAGTCAGCTGATGTTATTTTATTGTTTTTATCTTAAATAAGTCGTTTCTCGCATTTCAGGTTATTTCCTCAGGCTGGATTTCCAGAGGGAAAGAATAACTGCTGACCCTTTTGTTCCATTACTTCCCCGTTCTTGAATCTTCACTTTGAATCATCGGGAGGATGTTTTCATGTATTTCTTTCAGAGAAAGGGACATGAATGATCTTTTTGTTGCTGTTGACTTCACATATAAAAGACAGCTTGAATGAGTAAGACATTTCTGAATCCCAGCTTTCTTTCCTTTCCTGACTCTGTGGCTTCACTGTCTTCATGCATTTAGTGTGACAGAGGACAAGTCTGAAGTCACCATCAGGATTTGCCAGGATTCATGTAGCCATGGGTCTCTTTTCCTGGCCTCTTCTGGAATACTGTGAACCCTATTGGCTTCTTTATCTAGGTCTCTTTTTTTTTTTTTAGATCGGAAAAGTCTTTTCAGCTTTACTAAAGTATACTGAATGTATGATATAAATTGTCCATATTTAAAGTATAATTTGATGAGCTTTAACATATTCACATACTGTGACACCATCACCAAAATCAAGATCATGAATATATCCAGAACCCCCAAAAGTTTCTCTGTGCTCCTTTGTAATATATCCTCTCTCTGGCACCCACGGATCTGCTTTCTATCCCTATAGATTAATTTGCATTTTCTAGAATTTTGTATAAATGGAGTCATAACATAGGTATTCTTTCCATCTTGCCTGTTTTACTTAGCATGATTATCTTGAGGTTTACCATCTAGCTGGTATCAATAATTCCTCCTTTATTGCTGGGTAGTATCCATTGTGTAGATATAGCCACAATATTTTTATCCAATCACCTGTTATTGGACATTTGGCTTGTTTTTAGTTTTTTACTATTACAAATAAAGCTGCTCAATACATTTCCATACAAATCTTTGTATAGATATATGCTTTCACTTCTCTTGGGTAAAAATCCAGAACTATAATGGCTGGCTTGTATGATAGGGTCTATTTAACTTTTTGAGAAACTGCAAACTGTTTTCTGAAGTGCTGGTAGGATTTTGCATTCATATCAACAGTGCGTAAGAGTCCCACTTGCTCCTCATCCTCGCCAGCAGTTGATATTGTCGGTCTATTTAATTTTCGCCATTCTGGAAGATGTGTAGTAATATCTCATTGGGGATTTAATTTGCATTTCCCTAATGACTGGTGATGTTAAACCTCTTTTCCTGTGTGATTTGCCATTTGTATATTTTCTTTAATGAAACGTCTATTCAAATCCTTTGGCCATTTTTAAATTGGGTTATTTGTCTTCTCAAGTCATAAGAGTTCCGTGTATGTTGTAGCTATAAGTTGGATATGTGTTTTGCAGATATTTTCTTCACGTCTGTGGCTGGCCTTTTCATTTTTGCAACAGGATCTTTTGAAGATCAAGAGTTTTCGATGTTGGTGAAGTCTAATTTATTGATTTTTTTTCTTATACAGTTTGTGCTTTTTTGTGTCCTGTTTAAGATATCTTTGCTAAACCTAAGGTCATAAAGATTTCTTCCTGTGTTTTCTTCTGGAAGAGGCCATGCTATGCCTGTTAAATCCAGATGCATTTAATTAAAAGGTCTCAAACCCTTGGCTTTCTAGACTTAATAGTTTACCCCTTCCCTTTGCTCTTTTCTAGAATAGTTCCATGAAACTATTGGGTCATTTTATATACAGATATGGTGAGAGGTAAGCATTAAGGTTCGTTCTTCTTCACGTGGCTATCTAGTTGTTCCAGCACCATTTGTTGAAAAGATGGCCCTTTCCTCATTGAATTATCTTGGCACCTTTGTTGAAAATCAATTGATCATATATGTGCAGGCCTGTTTTTGGACTCTCCATTCTACTCCATTGATCTATATGTCTATCTTTATGCCAATACCACACACTGTCTTGATTACTGTAGCTTTAGACTAAGTCTTGAAATTAGGTGGTCTTGAAATTAGGTTGTCTTGCAATCAGGTTTTATTTAGCTGTGAGTCTCTTTATTGATTTTGCTTGGAATGTTGGAAGCCCCGTTGGCTTCTATATTTAGTTGGTTTTTTTTTTAGTTAGGCAAGCTTTAAACTTTTCTTGATTGTTATTTCTCTTTTAATTGTTCTGATTTCTTTCTAACATCTAGAATATCTAGGTTGGTCTTTGTTCTCCATATTTATATTTTTCCTCATGATTGTCATCTCTGTGTTCTTTCTCTGCATTCTGGAAAGTCTTGGGGGGCTTATCCACGATATTACTAATTCAGTTTTTTAGAATTTTATTTCTGCGTTATTTGTAATTCAGATAACTTTTTCTGCATCCTACAGTAAGTTTTTTCCCCAAAGGTAATGTTTTTTTAATCTTGCCATGTGACATTTTTTTGTAGGCCCTCATGAAGATATATATTTCTAGACTGGGGGTTGGCCAAAAGGCAGGATTTGTGAATGACCCTTCCCATCCGTCCCCTGTCCTCACTCGGGTGCTCATCATTTGGTAGATGATCTTCTGAATCTTCCTTACCTTTCTCTGTTCTCGTTAGTTTTTGTAGAATCTTGGTGGCAGGAGGCTGGCTAGAGCTGTCACTGGCCGTACAAATCATACAGTCCCGGTTTCTTTGTAAGACATGTATCATTTCATTCTCCTAACTTGACTTTTTTGAGTCTTTTGAATATTTTCAACTGTCGATTTTTTATACCAGTGAAAGGGTGAATAAACAAATGTAATTCCTCATTATTTTGTTTAAATATCTAGCGTCATCTGTCATTCTTGCTTACTTTGTCTCACAAACAAGTCTATATTCTCTAAGGGTTTCGTCACTGCCATTAAGAAAGGGGACCCACAGGCTCGTCGGGGACCTTTAGGTGGCTTGTGTATGCGGAACGTCACAATCCAGAGTCGGTGCACCCCAGTGTCTGACTCCTGTTCACTGGCAAGCTCTCTAGGCAGTGGGCACTGCCTGCCATGCTGTGCCTGTTAAATCAAGATGCATTTAAACCAAAAGGATCGAACCCTAGGCCTCCTGGACTTCCTAACTTACCCCTTCCCTTTCTTCTCTACAGTCCTGTCGATCTCTTGGGTCGTTTCCTACTTTGATTCCTTCCCAGTCTTTTTTCCTTTATGGATGGACGGACATTTCATAGCTCTGCCTTTCGCCCTGGGATGGTCTGGGCAAATGAGCAGCAGGTGAAAGCAAAACCTTCTGACGTCTTAGCTCACCTTATTCTCGAACGAAATTTTTAAAAATAGTTGCTTTCCTGGCCTCAGCACGTGAATCTCATGCTTCATCTTTCTTCCACTTGTAAAAGTTTATTAACTTTTTTAATAAGGCACCTTTTTCTTTAATTAAGAATGTAATTGAGACCAACCCTTTTATTCTCTTTTCTTACTACTCTTAGCCCAATCCCGTGAACTTTACAACTCAGTCTTTGCAGAGTTACGTTTTACACATTGTCCTAGAACAGTGGTTGTCCAATGTTTTGGTCTAGGACTTTTCTATTCTTAAAAATTGAGGATTCCAAAGAGCTTTTGTTTATGTGGGTTATGTTTATCTGTATTTCCCTTATTAGAAATTAAAACTGAAAAAAAATGTAAGACACAAGAATACGCAAGCAGACATCAGAGCAGTGACATCATCATAAGTCACAGAGCTTCTGGAAAATTCTTCTGTCTGCTTGTGAGAGGATGAAAGGAAAAAGGCAAGTGATGTCTTAGTGTTATTGTGAAAATAGTTTGACCTTATGGGGTCCCTGGAAGACTTGGGAACCTCCAGAGGTCCCTGGAGCACACTGAAAATGGCTGGCTCAGAAATGTGGTTTTAATACAACCGTCAGGTCCAAGAAACAGAATGCGAGTTGCAATTTCACGCACCAGAGTTTGCCTTGGTTGCATGTGTGTTGTACATGTGTGTTGTGTGTGTGTGTCTGGGGGGTGGGAGATGAAGTGACAGCTGTCTCTAACCATGCGTCTGCCTCTGCCACCCCAGCCTCAGTCCCCTCGATGCTGCTCTCTGACAGTTGGAGAGGACAGAGGCATCGCCGCCGCCTGGGCAGAGCTGTCTTCATTATATGTGGCCACTGGGTCCGGAAGATTAATGGTAACATTTTAAAAATTCACACAGACCTGGAATCAGCACTAGAAAATACAGATTTAAATTAACAAGAAAAAAGCAGAATCCCATCAAAGGAAATAAATCGTGCTGGCAACTATTGTCACATAATAAAATGTATTCTATAACTGAAGGGCTTTTATATGGAGCTGTCTGCAGCTTAGTGGCCATGTTAATTGAATAAGGTGCCTGCAACTGACTTGGGGGAAAAAAATGAAATTTCCCTCAGCATCTGTTCAGCCGGGGCTGATGTCGGCAGCATGTGTGGTGCTGACCTATTTGTTACAGAACAGCCAGTCCCTCCTGCAAAGAGACGCGACGTGATCGCTTGGCAGCATGTGCCCTGTCTCCTCTCTCTGCTTCTGTGGAGGGGGGACGGAGAGGAAACGTTTGGTCAAGTTCCCCTAGGACTTAGGGGCTGTTCTGGTTGGAATTCCCCAGTTACCCAACAGATTTTGGAATCATAATCCATCATTTGCATCAAGTGTCAGGAATTGTTGGCTTCTGATTGTCAGTCCCTTATTCCAGTGGCCCAAGGCCTACGGGGGATGGTACCAGAAGGTCTCCATCTAGGGCCGCCCTAGGTGGAGCCGGTTTCCTGAATCCTTGGGTTTACTTCTCCTTGATCTGCTGGTGAGCTTCATGAACTCTCTTAAAATCTAAAACACACTTCTCTGCCCACAGAGTGATCAACAAGTTGGGGCCCATTGAAATGGCGCCACTTGGAATTGCTGTCCTCGGGGGTACCAGTGGCCATCGTGCTCTTGGACGTCTCAGTTTGGTGGATGCTTTCAAGCACTTACTCATTCTGTAACTCCCTTGGCTTGGGTGCTCCAGAAGCGCTGAGCGTCTAGTGTCCACGGTCTACTGAAGCTCCTGGCTTCTTCCTTCCTTCCTCCTCTAGTAACGCCTGGGATCACGTTGGGGCGTTTCTTTAATCTCATCAGATGATCAGCTTATGGGAAAGAAGCCAAAGAGTTTGGGTTAACCGATCACAATTCCAAGTGTAAAACTAAGGATTTGATATCTTTTCTCACTAGATGCTATGGTAATCGACATGGGCTCTGGCCACTGTAGTCTTTTAAAATATTTTAAGTGACTGTGAAGTCTCTTATCAGAGTTATACCATAATTTTTTAACCAGTCCCCTATTAGTTGATATTTAATTTGATTCCAGTTTTTGGCTTTATAAGCAACACCATGATGAATGTATTTACTGCTTATGTAAAAACATCCATGAGTCAGAAATAGTTGTATTTTCTAAACCGTTAACCAGCCGCGTCCTGGGCATGAGGAGGAGACAAATAGGAAGCGTTCCTGTAAGTTTCTCAGAATTATCTCTAATTACCTGTCAGAAACAGATCCATTCATTCACTCAGAAAGTGTTGGGTAATCCTGTGTGGTTCTCCCCAGTGTTTTTTAAGTGCCCACTGGGTGTGGGGCTATGGTGGAAAGAGAGAGTGAACTGGAGATGGTGTTCTGTGACACGTAAACTAATCAGATAGTCCTGTGGTGTGGGAAGGACTCTGCAGAAAGGAGGGTGTGGCGTGTGAGAGCAGCTGGAGATGGGGTGCTTCCTCTGGTGGGTGGTCAGGGCAGGAATCTGAGGGGTGGCCTTTCTGAGGAGGAGGAGCCAGCTTCTGGAGAGCTGGGGAACAGTGTTTCAGGCAGAGAGAACAGCAAGTGCAAAGGCCCCGAGGCAGGAATGAGAGTGAGGGGATGGAGGGACAAAAAGCAGCTGGTGAGGTTGGAGGATGTAAGTGCAGAGGTCATGAACCAGATGAGGTCAGAGAGGGGGGATGGGCCAGAATTGGCAGGACTGCACAACCATGGGGCGGTTTAGATTTCATTCTAATGCAGAGGGAGGGTGCCAGTGGGTTTTTTTAAGTGTCTGATTTCTTTTTGTTGTAATTTTTTTTAAGATTGGTACCTGAGGGGCTGGTCGGTGGCACAGCAGTTAAGTGTGCACATTCTGCTTCGGTGGCCCGGGTTTCACAGGTTCGGATCCCAGGTGCAGACATGGCACCGCTTGGCAAGCCATGCTGTGGTAGGCGTCCCACATATAAAGTGGAGGAAGATGGGCACAGATGTTAGCTCAGGGCCAGGCTTCCTCAGCAAAAAGAGGAGGATTGGCAGCAGATGTTAGCTCAGGGCTAATCTTCCTCAAAAAAAAAAAAAAAAGATTGGTACCTGAGCTAACATCTATTGGCAATCTTTTTTTTTCCTTCTTATTTTCCCTGAAACCCCCAGTACATAATTGTATTTTTAGTTGTGGATCCTTCTGTGGGACCCACCTCAGCATGGCCTCATGAGTGGTGCCATGTCTGCGCCCAGGATCTGAACCGGCGAAACCCTGGGGCCGCTGAAGCGGAGTGCAGGAACTTAACCACTCGGCCACGGGGCCGGCCCCACCAGTGGGTTTTGTAATGGCTCTGTACGGAGGCCCTCGTGAGCAGGACTCTAAAATAATGCCAGGGATGGCAGGAACAGGGAGAATCAGAATAGGAGTTCCGCATGGAACTGTAATAGGAATTTTATCCTTGTGCGTGCTCACCACACGCCTGGTTCTGCGTTGTCTGCTCTGCCTGCGTTGTAGCGAGCTGTGCACTACGAGGCAACACACCCTCAGGGAAGGGCACTGGCTCCAGGTGGCACTGGGATGTGAACCCATTTTGGGTGGACTCTGAGGTCAGTGCCCTTAACCACTACAACGGCTCTGCCTCCCTGGGTACGTGGTTGGGCCATCGGTTGTCCGTTGCTTTTCCCTTTATAGCATATTACAGGGACCGTGACCTGTCAGGGTCACCAAGCTAGTAAGTGGCAGAGGTGTTGAGTCCCTGGCATCATCGGTTTCGAAAGGGTCTTCGGGATGGACCCTGTGTTCCTGGTTGAGCAGTCTCATTCAGTGTGCCTCAAGAAGGTACGTCAGGGTAACTTAAGGTGGTCACGGTAACCTGCAGGGGATGCATGCACTAACCTTTCTGTTAAGTCCTGCTGCCTCATCTCTGAAGGCCTCGGTTTTCTGTTCTGTTAAATGAAAATAATGGATGGTTCCTATCTGGAAAGGCTGCCGGGAGGGTTAGGCAGGGCAGTGGAGGGGAAGGAACCCAGCCCCGTGCCTGGCAGGCGGGTCTCCACCAGCTGCCGGGAACTGAATCTCATTTCGCTCTGAGACTCAGCTGATTGCAGAGCGGTCCTGCCTGCCCATCACTTTCACCTAATCTGAGGCGGCAGCGCCCCGGGGCCACTTCTCCGTCAGCAGGTGGCATCTTTCGATTTAACCACAGGTGATCTTTCCCCTCGGCCCAGACTGCCCATTCTCAATTCACAGGAGGCCTTGGTGTGCCTCTTCTTCCTCCTGTCACGTGTCCCCTCCTTCCTGTGTCCAGCAGAAGAGGCTGTTTGCAGCGTGGGGAGCTCTTCTCCCTGAGGCTCCCTCTGGTCAGGGTCTTTCCCACTCCTGTTCTCGGAATGCTCCGCACACTCGCTCTCGCATCAGCTGGCGTGTTTGGTAACTTGATTTCAATCCAACAGATTCCTATTGAGCAATTACTCTGTGAAAGACATAGGCAGGCCTGTGACTTAAATTCGCTTTTAATTTCATATTCATTGCATCAGCCACACATTGTCTGTTGCATGAGATCAGAAGCTTTCTTTTTTTCCCCCCTTGTAAATTCCTGGTTGCTGCCACCACTGATTTCTTACGTCATACCTGTTTCCTGTCACGGAGAGGAGTAGGGTGCATAGTGTAAGGAGTTTCCCGGAGACCCCTTGATGTAACGGAAAAAAAATACATGCAGAAATGAAACAATGGAGGCAACCGCAGTTCACGTACATAATGGACTAGGTTCAACACTTGATTTGGTCAGCCGGTGTTCGGAAATTGTATGTTCTAGGGTGGAAATTGTCCAAGAAAGTGGGATACAAAATGGATGAGATTTGACCCAGCTCTCGAGGAGGTCACAGTCATGTTAGGGAGACAGGCTTCTTTTGGATGAATACAGCATAGTGTGATAACTGGAGTGAGATAGGACATACAGGCACTGAGTCTAGCCTGGGACAATTCCAGGGAAGTTTCAACAAAAGAGAGATTTCTTAGGTGGGGTCTTGAAGGATGAATAGGAGTTTGGAGAGTAGGTAAAGGAGAAATGGAGATTCTAGGAAGAGAGAGCAGCGTGGATAAAGAATCAGGCATGAAAAAACATGGCATGTTCAGAGATTCACAAGCCTTTCGCTCCTCCTGGTGGAGGGAGAAGTCAGCAGTGACAAGAGAGGGAGACAGGAGAGGTGCGCTGGTGTGTGAGGACGGCTAAAACCGTACGGATGGATGTGAATTAGGTTGTCCAGGGAAAGTGTGTGAAGTGAGGAGAGAGCTAAACCAGAACCCTTGCAAACAGCAACCTTTAAAAAGTTGAAGGAGGAGCCAGAGAGGAACATCTGTGAGGAAGAAAGAGAACAGGCCAGGGGAGGGAGAGTTGCAGAGTGGTCGGCCAGGCAAACTGTGACGCCGGGAGAGGCAAGAAAGTTCAGCCCAGGATGTCCATGGCGGGTGTGGGACAGCTAGGGAGCCAGCACCTTGATTTCTCTGGTTTGTATATACTTCTTTTTTAAGTCCTGTGTGCCATAGAATTTTCCCGAAACTGCTCATTTCGAGGGTTGCAGCAGGTCATTCGACAGGAATTGTTAAGGGTCTGCACACAGTAGGTGCTGAGTAACTGTTTGCAGTTTCATGATAATCTCCATCATCATTTGCTGCCCCCTTCCCATCTACCATAGCATCTCACTTTCCCACGGGGAGGCACTCTTTTAAAATTACAAATTGCATCTTGTCACGTCTCTTCTTAAAAGAAGTCTGTCCTTCAGGATAAAATCAGAACTCACGCAGGGTGCTGAGTGCTGTGGCCCCTGTTCAGCCTGGTCCCTCGCCCTCTCTCTGGCCTTCAGGCTCTGGCCACCCTGGCCTCCTTCCAGGCCTGCCCTCCCAGAATTCCTGCTGCCTAGGAGGCTGGCCGCAGAGCCTCAGGCACTGCTGCTCCTCCCTGGCACACCCCGTGGCCTGCCCATCCTCGCTTCTCCACCCACCCGGCACTTCCTCAGGGAAGCCTCCAGGAGCATCACTCCCCCCACCAGTGCTTCCTGCTTTCTGTGCGTGATTGCATTTGTAAGCTACTCTTGGTTCCCGTAACCTTGTGGACATTTTCATGTCCCCCTGCTGCAAGGTGAGCTCTGCCACAGCAGGGGCCCTGCCTGACCTCTGACCACTGAATGGCTGGGTTGGCCCCGTTTTCTCCTCTGGCTCAGGTTGGCCTCTTTGCTGTCATCCGTGCCTGCCCGTCTAACACCCTGCCTCCTCCTGAACCTTCCCGAATGCCTCCAGCCCCCAGAGGAGCTACCACCCAGCCCAGATGTTTGGTGTCCTTGGTTGGGTTGGCTGTACCTTTTTAGGGCTTTCAAAGCTTAGAAATCTTAGGGTGTGGCGGGCCTGAAGCGCACTTCTTCCCCTGGCTCCTGGCAGTCCCCTCCTTGGTCAGGTGGGTGCAGTAACGGCACCTGGCCCCGGCCAGCTTCCTGGATGTGCAACCAGTACAGTCCCACAGAGCCCCGTGCTCAGAAGGGCCCCACGCTTGGTTTAATGCTCTGCTGTCATTGACTTGAAATTCTTAACCATATTTGACCTAGGGCCCCACGTTTTCATTTTGCACTGGGCCCTGTGTGCCGTGTCACCAGGGCCTGTACCTGCCTCATCAGGGCCATGTGAGGAGCCCAAAGTGAATTCGTGAGATCTGCATACCCCAGGGCGCAGTGCACAGCGAGCACTCTCTGCAGGGTCACCTGTCATCATTGTAGCTCTGCTCAACCACAACCACAGTCGATAATTCATTCTTCTGTTTGCTCGGCTCCATTGACTGAGTGCTGTGGTCAGAGCATTGATCAATGGCTGTAAAGCCTTCTGCAGCTGCTTGCACCCTCTCCGGCCTCCCAGCCCTGGCCAGTCTTCAGAGTCACTGCTGGAGCTTATTAGAAATAGATTTCTGGGCTAGCCCCCAGGCCCATGGAACCGGCCTCCCCAGGGTCAGGGCCGTGAATCTGTATCGTTAGCAATTTCCCGGGTGGCTCTGCCTCTTCCGTCTGTGCTGTGATGTGTGGAACAGAGTTGGGAACCTTCATCCCAGGGGATAGAACCCAGACCTCTCGGTGTGGCATTTGGCGTCCTTTGCAGGCCAGCCGCCTGCCTTTCCAGCATCTTTTCCCATGTGTACCGTTAACCCTGCACCAGAGCGTTGGCTTGCCCTGACTCCCTGGTGAGTCCCTCTTACTCCTTTAACACTCACGTCCTCCTCTGAGAAAGTGTCACTGGAAGCCCCGTCCCCTTAATCAGAAAGTGTGGTTCTTTCCTTTCATGTTCACTCAGCGCCTGATTTCGTTCTCTGAGCACATGTCATGGTGCCCAGTGATTTGTTCCTGCACCTTCTTCCCTGTAATCTGCGAGCTTCTTCAGGGAGCCCACCTGCACATCCTTAGGTAGCATCAGCAATGAGCAGACCATGCAAGGTCACTGCGGCACGTCAGAGGGCCCTATGGATACTTCTCCATGCGCTGTGTCTGCTGGTCCCCCCGCAGCCCTGAGCGCACAATCGGTGCTCAGGAAAGCCCACTGCATCAGTGCACAGGTGTTTGCGGTCCATGCTCGCTCTGTGCCGGCAAACCGAGGGCAAACCCAGCCCTTGGCTCCCGTGTCATCCCCGGAGGCCCCTGCTCGCTCTGGCTCTGTGGGAAGAGGCTCTGCCTGGAGAACGTTTCCTCCCAGGAGTCTGTACGTGCAAGAATCATTCAAGGAGGTCGTGCCTTTGTTGTGTGAAAAAGGTGACGTGTAAACCTTAAAGCTTTCTTTATGTAATAAGTGCTCCGTCCCCCGGTCTCTTCCCTTCTGGAAATGACTGAGTGTAATCAAAGCTCAGGCTACAGAGTTGTTTCAAACCACCCCCAGTCATGCCAAGAAGAGGGATTTTTGTTTTTCCTCCCAGACCTGTTGAGTCTTAAATACTTTTCCTGTTATTTCAATCTTACTTTTCTGCATTTGCTGTGGGCAGCTGATGACCACACCAAGTGGTGATTTGCTTTTGATGGAATGCTCACTCAATGCTGTGTGCATTGTGGACTTTAAGGCCCGACACCTGCGCTGTAAGAGACAGCACTGGACTGAGCGGAGGCGCTTTCCTCAGTACCTAGTATGTGCTTCCCACCCGAGGGGAACACACAGACATGGCAATTCAGAGGAATGTGCCATTCTGATTCTCAGTGGTCAGCACTTTCCTGGACTCACATGGCAATGATAATACCCAACACCTTCCTTCACAAAGTGCTTTCTGTGCTGCTGTCCTCAGCGGCCCTCCGGGACAGGTATGGAAGTCATTGGATGGATAATGGAACCAAGATGGTGGGACAAACCCAGGCTCATTTTCAGAGCTTGAGTGTTCTGGTCCCACTGGTGTATTTTGCCCAGTGGGCAGAGTCTGGACTGAATTGCCCATCTCCTTAAAGCACCTTGGACGTGCCATAAGGCTTGGGAAACCCTTTCTTCCTCTTGGATGTCCTTCCTGGTATGGAAAAAGGTGGCTGCTGATTTCTGGAAACTTTTGAATTCCTTGAGGGGACTCGAGCTGCTGGGGAAGTCCTGCTCACCAGGATTAGCGGGCACTCCTCCTGCTCGGTGCTCCCGTGGGCTGTCGAGGGGCCAGGTGCTTTCTGCGCCTTGGGGAACGCTCATGCACACTGTAACCTCCTTTTTCTCCTGTCTCTTTCTCAGGCACATCTCTCTAACGCTGCCTGCTACCTTCCGAGGCAGGAACAGCACGCGCGCCGACTATGAGTACCAGCACTCCAACCTGTATGCCATCTCAGGTAGGTGGGGCCGCTGCTAAGGACCAGCCACCGCGTCTGCGACCCGGGCACCACCTCCCTCTGCCTGCTTCCAGGCTTCTAACGGCACCTGTCTGTCTTACCTCTCTTTCTTTCCCTGCAAGGGGCCTGTTCCCTGCGGGCACCAGGCCTTCCCTCTCCTTTGCGTCACCGCCACGCTTAGAGAAGGGCCAAATACTCAGCATGTTTGGAAACTAATGATGAAAAACAATGTGTGGATTTCACAAGCTTGAAGGGAGGTTTCCAGAGAATAGTCACTGCGTTGTTCACCTGCCAGATCCAGGGCTGGGTTCCCAGGGGGACTGAGGCCCCGTCCCCTCGCCCTCCCGTATCCAGGTCTGTCCTCACCTCTCATTTCCCAAAGCCAGGTTTGTGGCCAGAAGTTACACTGGCGGTCTCCCCTCACACCCCCATCGTGTGAGTCTGTGATTTCTGAACGCAGCCTGGAAATGGACAGTGTTACCTTGGCAGGACCTTCGCCAGTCCCAGTTCCCTTTCACCTTTGCCCAGGGAGGGGAGAACTTATGAGCCTTATTACAGAACTGAGATTCATTAGGTGCCTGGCCGTGCAGGTGACTTGCTAAGAGGCACGGAAACCCACAAACTGGCCTCCGATTATACCGGGCCTCCGGTCGGGGGTGTTTGTACGTAAGGGGGAAGTGGCAAATCGGTGCCACTTACCCGTGCACGCCCTTAATGGTGAGTGACATTTTGAACACGGGAACATGGCATTCATTCATGTACCATAATGAATCGGTTATTTAAAAGGTAATCTTTTTTTTCTAAAAATTGCAACTTCAGGTTACTAAATAGACGAAATAGAACAATGGTATAATTCTTGTCAGTATTAGTTTCTCTTGTTATGATCACTCCCTAATAGGTTTGGAAGTATAAGCAAAAGCCAGTTGTTCCATTTCTGGGTGGCACTCCTGTTGGGGGAAGGGCAGAAGACGGATGTTCTTAAAGCCCGCGTCCTTGGCCACACTCCAGGAGCCAGGCTCCCGAAGGGTAGAGGGAACACGTTGTCTGAGAAAAGCATCTCCTGGGAGAGTTTCTTTTGTGCTGCGGCTGTTTCAGCAGAGTCGACAAGGAGCATAACAAGTGTGGAAAGATGACCTATTTTGTAGAAAAGCTGAATATTTCCCCAGATGCTTAGTGGCAGAGTGGTGCAAAAACAGGCCTGTGAAACCCAGCAGGGCGACCCCATCCCTAATGCACGTAAGGAGAGCTCAGTCAGAGCAGATGACTGCTTTCCTCCAGCTTGCAAATCTTTCTCCAGCCCCGGGGGTTCGTCCACCTCCCCCTTACCTGGGTTCTCTGATGGCTTTCCCAGCTGTTGGTGTTTCTGCGGAAAAGGGCCCACAGAGTGAAACCTCCTCTGGTTTGGCAGGAATGTTCCTGTCTGCCTCTGGACCGCTGCTTCCTTGCCCCACAGCTTTGATGAGGTGTTGTCTGGGTTCATTTCAGCTGCTAGTTTAGCAACGCCGAGGTAACAGCCTCAAGACACAGGGGAGGCCATTCAGAAACTTCCTGTTACGTTTATGTAAGTGGCCCGTTGCTTAGATTTTATCTTCCAGAGGTAGTTGAGGCTGCAGCCCATGGCAGCAGGCAGCTCAGGCCTCCTCCGAGGCTGCAGGCACCAAATTGCTCTGCCAGGGTCCAAGCCGGCTTTGTTGTGATGCTGCCAGAAATATCCCGCAGGACCCACCGGCTCCATGAAGCCTGCAAGCTCAGCACTGGGCAGCCGGGGTGTAGCTGGGAAGCCTGCCCGCCCACCCACCGGCAGCCTGCCTGTGAGCCGCTCTGGCTGGAAGGGCGCAGAGACCGCCCCCTCCCCTGTACCATCAGTACTTGGCGCTGAGTGGCACATCTCAGTTTGGTACTGCGAAGGTAAGGTTTTGATGGTTCGTTCCAACAACAGTCAAGGCAGAGTGTGCCCCAGGCCCTAGCCCTTGCCCCGTGCTGGATGCCACGCTAGCTGGAGCTCTGCTGGTAATGAAATGAATCATCAAACTCTTCTCCTTCTGAATGGGCTCAGGCACACGCTCACTGCAGGCTTCAGGGGCTAAGCTTTTGGGGCAGTCTCCTGGTGTGCTCTGGTTCGTTCCTGAAAACATTCGATTACCGCTCCCCTAGTCTGCAGTCCCTTCCTAGGATGAGTATATTTCCAAACAATGGAATGAGAAATTTAAAAAGCAGCCCACATTTAATTTGTATGTGTGGTTATTAAAGTGATATTTACTTTTAAATGTTTTCCCGAGGGCATACCTGTTAATATATCCCTTCTCCGGTACCTTTCACTCAGATAGTTCGTCTCTGTCATGCCTGCAGGGGGAGAGAGGCTGCTCAGAGCCACTGGAGAACCCAGTGGAGACAGCGTGTAGCTCTGTCCTCGCACACGGAGGTGCTCCTGAAATGTTTATGGAAGGGAGGGAGGGAGGAAGAGAAGCGTTTAGCCCAGTGTCTACCTTGCCCAGGAACACCCTCTGTGACCTCTGGGGCAGGTGATCATCCTGATTTGCTGCTCGAATACCCCCAGTGTCTGGGGCCACCACCTCCTACCAGCCTATTCTGTTCCTTGTTCTCCTGGGGTCTGTCTCTCTGTACGTTCATACCCATCCAGCCATTTGGGATACTGTGCTTATTCCATCAGTCAGAATGTGCCCACTGTTCTCCACAGTCCAGCCAAGAGTTCTGTCTTGCACACAGAAGTGGGGTCAGGAACTTCTGACTCAGTGCTGACATCCTGAGAGCTGTGTCCCTTGCTCTGTCACCTTGTACCCGAGTCAGAACGGCCAGGAAGCACACCTTCGATCCTCACCCTTCCTCCTCCAGGAATTTCTCCTAGAAAATACTTACAGATGTGCAAAAACATTTATCCACAAGGATGAGCTCTGCTGTTTTTTAAAAGTAATGCTCCAGAAAGGGGGGTGGGGGTGGCCTCGTGGTGTAGTGGTTAAGTTTGCGTGCTCTGCTTTGGTGGCCTGGGGTTCATAGGTTCAGATCCCAGGCCTGGACCTACACACCATTCATCAAGCCATGCTGTGTTGGTGTCCCACATACAAAATAGAGGAAGATGGGCACAGATGTTAGCTCAGGGCCAATCTTCCTCACACAAAAAAAGGAGGGGGGGAGCTATCCTAAAAGTCTCAAAGGCAAGTGGTTTAATTATGAAACATCCATACAATGGCCTTAATTTTTCAAGCATCCAAAAATGACGATTTAGATAAAAAAGATGTGCATGAATATTGTTAAGTGACAACCAGAATGTGCAATGTGATCTCATTTTAAAAAGTATGTCCAAAGGTCTGAAAAGGTCCAGGCCAAGGTCTTTACTGTGGCTTCCACTGCTCTTTTCTTCTTTCTTCCTTCTTTGCAGTGTCTCAGTTTTCTATGATAGCGGGTGTCGCTTTTGTAGTAGAAACGTAGACCTGACGTTAATCTGGCGTGTCCTTGGTAAGCCTCGCTGGCCCCAGCGATCGCCTTGTTTTGTCTGAATGCTCACAGGCCTCCTGACTCATAATATGCTTTCGGATTCTACTGGAAATCAGTTCCAGGCCACAGATCAATAATTTTCTCCGTGTGCCTTTTTGAGAAGATGATTTTTCTCTGTTGTCCGGTTCCCTGGAACCTCCTGTCCACTGACCTTCCTTAGTGACCACCACCTGCAGTTCCAACCCCACCTTTCATGGTCCATGGGCCCTCCAGACGCCGACTGAGCCTGGAAGCCCCTGACTGCTCGAGGCCTCTCCTCACCATTTTTGCTCCTCAAATCCCCCATCACCATGTTATTCTACTCTTTAGGGTTTGAGGATGATTTTCCTCGAAAGAGGAGATGGAAATAAAAGGGTGGGGGCCCGGCTCGGCTCACTCTGTTAGCTGTGCACACTAGGGTTAGCAGACCGCTTTTGAAGTTATTCTTGCTTTTGATAAATGCCAGCTATGGGCTCCGTGCTTTCTGGTGATGGTCTAGCTGGTGTCCACCCCTTAGTTGTGTGCCTTCCAGATCTTTCCTCCTGGGAGGGCCTCTTCAGGGCCATGTTGATTTCCCTAGAGTCTACCCCCAACCCCCGCTCCCATGTTTCCTCATCAGGCATCTTCGTGGCTGTTAGTTTTCTTTTTAAGAATATCTTCTTTCCCCTTGAAAAGTCTTCTATTTTAGTCCCTGATGATAGCCTCCTACCTTATTTTTTTCCTTAGAATTTTTTTTAGAAGTTTAGATGTCTGACCATTCATTCCTTTCTACGCCACCTATTCCAGAACTATTTAAAGTAATTCCAAAAATACATGTAATGACATGAAAATGGAAATGACAAAATAAGAGTGAAGGGAAATCCAGGCTGGAAACGTAGAGGGCAGCTGTGGGCGGTCTCGCAGGAAGGGGCGTCTAGGTCTGCGTCTGAGTCGGGGCAGTCTCTGGATGAGATGGAAACAAGCGAATGCCTGGGAAGAAGCTAACTCTTCCTGGTCCTGAATTCGTCCTCATAAAGAGGGCCCTATAAGATGCTGCGGACCACAGAACAGCCTCTTTGCGGTGAATTTGATAAGAACAGCCTGTATGCCCGTGTATGGGGTGGGGGGTTCACTCATGTCTGAATCCCTAAAATGTTTGCAAGTTGAATGAGATGTTGTGCTGGGCGTCATGTACCTTAGGGGCTGGAGAGCTTGGGGGGTGTCAGGAAAGAGTGGCTCCCCTACCTCCGGTCCAACCTGAGGCTCTCACCTGGCCCAAGGCTCCCTGTCAGGAGCGGCTCAGCCCAGAGGTGCCCAGGATTGCTGTTTCTAACCACAGAATGGCTCTTGTCCGTCTTCTGGCAGGTTTTACTTAATGAACAGGTGACAGGAGGCATGGGAAACCACCCTGCGCTATTCTTGTGTTTTTCTTCTTGTTATGAACTGATTTATACCTCCAAGTGAAGAATTTTTACCAAAGATAACTTATTTTTCTCCCTTTGGAAAAAATTGACACAGTAGTGTAAGATAGTAAAATTAAGCAGGTGCATATTAAAACCGGCATGTAATAAACCAAAAGTCTCCAGCAGCCCATGAACTCAGGACGAGCCACAGTGCAGAAATACCATGAAGCTCACAGGTGCAGGCAGCCAGGGCTCAGTTTCTTCTCCTTTTAGTACACAGGCGGACTGCCTTGCTGACATCTTCATTTCTCCATCAGCATTAGGCTGACCCTGTAATTGACTGTGCACACCGTCACTTTCGAGAAGGAAAGGGGCACACCGTTGTACCAGGACAAAAGCCGTACCCTGGAGCCCTCCCGGCAGACTGCGGGGTGTGGTCACCCTGCCTTCAGCTTTTTTGTTTTTTTTTCAGTTTTCTTTTTGATTGCTGGAAAAGCCATCTTTTTGGCCTCCACAGCTGTTCCCTCTTAAAAACCAGTTCCCTTTCAAGATGTTTGACACCAGGAAGCATGTGTGAGCGTGGACAAGCCTGAGTCCATCGGCTCATCACTCTGGCGCACGACACGCGTATGGAGAAAAGGACGATTTTATCTGAAACACAGAACCACGTACAAGCCGTGTAACTCTGACATCAGACCAGGAAAGCACAAAGCAATTAAAAATAATTAATGATTTCTGAGTATCAGCCTTCTCCATGCAGTTTTAATCTAGTCCTCATTTAAATTGGAAGATGGACATTTAATTATCAGTATTATGAAATTCATGATTTATCTATTTCATCCAATTGGATAAAATTTCTGCCACCAGCTCTTCGTCTTATTATGAAAAAAAATCTGTATATTTTTACAGTATGATCATTTAAAAACTCATCTGCAGCCTACCAACCAATTATAAACGTATTTTCCTTTCAATCGTAGGGATTGGGTTATTTCTGTCTTTTAATTAGGAAAAGAACCTCACCTGGAAAATGCGAAAATCAACTTAATACTTTAATGATCCTAAAACATTGGGTTGGAAAACGAAGGCTAAAAGACTCACCCAATAGGGTGCTCGAGAAATGCTGTGCTTTTTCTGTGTCAGGTGTCCTAGCCAACAGCTGCTCCTCGTGTGTTCATGGTGTCATGCTGCAGAATTTGCATCCGCATTCTGCATGTGTGTGCCCAAGGTTCTCCGTTCTCCATATTTGGGGGGGGTGTCAGCTCGTGCGTGGGTTGATTATGTTCCTGATAACCCTGAATGAGGGAAAGCTGCTGTCTTCCAGTGGCAGCCTCTGAGCAACGATGCTAGTCAGCCTCTCGTTCACAGGTACCCCCGTGGCCTTTGTCTTCAGTGGACATGTTCGTGTGGCGTTCACGGCCTTGTATTTCAGACTCCTGGATCCCTCTATCCTCCACTGAGGATTTTCATAATCACCAAGACTGGTTGGAGAGGTGGTGGACGAGTGTGTGGGAGGATAGCAAGGATCGGTTTGGTGCAGCCACAGATAATAGCATATGGGGAGAATTCCTGAATGAAGTGAAAAAATATTTATAATAATGGTGCTCAAATCAAGGAGGAAATAAGTCATTTTAAAGGCATATACGTTTTTATCATCACCTCTAACAGCCGTTGCGTCCCCTTGTCTATCCATCTATTCTTGCCCTGACTGACAACAAAATCGAGTACAAAGAAAAATATAAGAAAGAGAAGAAATGAATGGGAGCGGATGGGGAATTGATCGCGTAGTGTATTTGTATATCCTGATGTAAAAGGTACCGTTGACAGGTGGCCAGGTTTGCTCTGTACACAGCCATGTGTGTGCTGTCAGGCGCACGCACGCTGCCTTGTTTCGATTGATGAATTGCCTGCTTTCTTGATTAAACCTTCCGTCACTTAAGAAACAAAAAGCCTGTGTTTAGATGGCAGAGTGGGACATGTCAAAAAAATCTGTCTCCTTTACCTTTGTGCAGATGTTGGGCACAGACTGTAACATGT